GTTGTATTGTGTTGGTGATTGCATGCAGGTGTGTGTGTGTGACATCACTGGAATGACAGCCTCACATACGAGATGACATCATCACTACGTCATCATGATAATCACAGGTGGCTTTGGTGTGTGTTCCGGAACTCTCTGTCTCTCAATAGTAAGAGAGACAGATCAGAGGATCTGTATTCAATCTTCACTCCAGATCGTTTAGTGATAGACGCATTCAGACAACCTTCACAGTCTTCTAGACAGACAACTTCTTCCACGGACACACAGATAATTTGTACCTAAGCACAACACAAGAATACAGACTGTGCCATGGATAGAAGAACCAACCAGAACCAGAGGGGAAACCCCAGGTACTTTGACCATGGAGCTGTAGCTGATCATGCTTACAGGCAGATCCACTGCAGAAATGGATGGATATACGGCCTGGATGAGTTTCACATGGCTTTAGGGGAGGAGAGGGCTGGCTTTGGCCACAGGATGCGCAAAGAAAAAGACAACGTCAAACGTCTTGAGGACCTCCTGAGTAACAGGAACTCAGGGTTGGACCAAGACAATAAAAGGCTCTTTGACATCATCCAGTACCGTGTGGCAGACATCTCACGTCTGAAGGAGCAGATGGAAGCTGCAGAGAGCCAACACAAGCAGCAGCTGGACGACATGGTGGCACAGCAACAGAAGCTCTCAGACCAGAACAACGAGGCCAACCTGGTGAACTCAAACCTGCTGCAGAAAAGAGAAGAACAACTCCTTCAGTGCGAGGAAAAGTTCACCAAGAACCTGGCAGAGAAACACGACATCTGGGAGAGTGAGAAACTACAGATGGAGAAGAAATACGAAGAAGTGACTCAGGAGAAGAACGACCTGCACAGGAAAAACCTGAGCAGGGAGACTGAGTTTCAACAGCTGGAGGCTACACTCAAACGGGTGGAGAAGCAGAAAAATGACCTGGCCAAGAAAAACAAGAGCTGCGAGACGGATGTCAAACAGCTGAAGGACCAGATGAGAGAGCAGGAAGAGATGTTCTCCAAAGACCTGGCCCAGAACCAGGAGAGCTGGGAGACCAAGGTTCATTTGGTGGAGAACAAATTAAAAGAAGTGACTCAGGAGAAGGACGACCTGGCTCAGAAACACCAGAGCAGGGAGAAGGATCTGAAAGAGGTTCAGGCTGAATTAAAAATGGCAGAGGATGAGAAAAAGGACTCTGCCAAGAAAAACCTGAGCCTGGAGAGCGAAGTCCAACTGATGGACGGACGAGTCAAGCAGTTGGTGAACGGTTTGGATGAACAGAAGGAAAGGTTCTCCAAAGACCTGGCTGAGAAACAGCTGAGCTGGGAGCTGCTTGTCCAACAGAAGGAGAAGCTTGTCAAGCAGTTCGAAAACAAGTTGGAAGAGCAGGAGGAAATGTTCTCCAAAGATCTGGCCCAGAACCAAGAGAGCTGGGAAGCCAAGGTTAATTTGGTGGAGATCAAATTAAAAGAAGTGACCCAGGAGAAGAACGACCTGGCTCAGAAACACCAGAGCAGAGAGAAGGATCTGAAAGAGGTGGAGACGAAATTAAGAAAGGCAGAGGATGAGGAAAAGGACTCGGCCAAGAAGAACCAGAACCTGGAGAGCGAAGTCCAACTGAAGGAGAGGCAGGTGAAGCAGATGGAGAACCAATTGGATGAGCAGAAGAAGATGTTCTCCAAAGACCTGGCCCAGAACCAAGAGATCTGGGAGACCAAGGTTCATCTGACGGAGACACGATGGAAACAGGTGGAGGAGCAGAGGGACGACCTGGCTCAGGGACAACTGAGCTGGGAGGCCAAGGAGGAACAGATGGAGGAGGAGAAGAAACTACTGGAGGACCTCTGTCTTCACATGAAGAACAAGAGCAGAGGTTTATTCTCCCGCAGGAGGGACACTGAGGACAGAGACGTCACCTTGCAGAAGATGAAGAGCAAGATGGTAGAGAAGGAGATGAGGAAGAAATCAAAGAGGGAGGAAGCTGAGGGGAGAAACAGTGCCTCAAAGGAGACTGAGAAGATGGAGGCTGGTGATTCAGCTCCGGCTGGACAACAGTAACTCCCTCTTCCTCCTCCTCTTCCTCCTCCATTTCCCTCACCTCCTTCCTCCTACCTCACCCGCCTCCTCCCTTCACCTTTTTCTCATGTATGGTTTTCTCCTGGTACTCAGGGTTTCCAGTAATTCAGATAGGATTAACAAAAAAACATCAATATTAAGTCCCTCCTCAATTTAGCTCACCCTCTCTCACCTCACACATAGTTTTCACAATACAATTAGGATTACTTATATATGTTGGTGGTTCCTCGGTGCAGGAAAAAAACCCGAGGTGACAGGGCTTTCAGTGTTGCAGCTCCCAGACTGTGGAACAGCCTCCCAGTACATATCCGGACTGCTGAGTCTATTGAACTTTTTAAATCTCAGCTAAAAACTCACCTCTTTGCACTGGCTTTTAATACTAGTTGAACATTACATTTTTACATTTGTATGTGTTTTTTTAAATATTTTTCTAGTTATTGTGCTTTTTATCATGTTTTTAATTATTGTTTTATTATTGTACTCCCATTGTGTTATTTAATATTTATTGCCTGTACAGCACTTTGGTCAACTGAAGGTTGTTTTAAATGTGCTATATAAATAAATAAATATTGAGATTGAGATTACAATTACAATCAGGATTACAATCAGGATTACAATTAGGATTACAAAGACATGATTTAAAAATAAAATTCAAAATCAAATCTAATGTCCATGTGTGTGCCTCACTGTGTAAACAAGTACAGTATAAATTCATTACTGTTTTACATGTTGGTTACTAAAGTATTTTTATTCATTCAATGTATGTGTTAATCAACTTTCATAAATAAAAGAACCCATGGTATGAAATAAAAGATGTTTGTACAGATACTTATTGGTGTTTTTATATTTGTTTCACTCTACACGTTCAATTCCATTATTTCGTTTTTTTTAAATAAATGGACTGTACTTATAAATTCATTTATCAGGTATTTTGACGCCTCAAAGCTCTTTATATACTACGAGTCATTCACCCATTCATACAGAGCAGCACCACTTGCTAACAAGCACACGCACACGCACGCACGCACGCACGCACGCACGCACGCACGCACGCACGTACGCACGCACGCACGCACGCACACACTTTTTTGACTGATATTTCAATTGCGATATGATTCAAAATGTGATCATATTGAGGATTAGTGCCAAACAAAGTATGTAACTTAAGGATGTGTAGGCTGGGGCATCTCTACATCCGCATTTTTCTTATTTCAGAACGGTAATTTGACATGTTTTGCCTTTAGTAAATAGTATTCTCCTATAATTGGATATAGTTTATTTGCTATTTTGATACATTTCCTTACAATTGTTCAGCTTTTTATTGAATCTTTTCAAGCTGAATTTGACCATATCTGATAGTATAACATGTATGTGTTAGAGCTCTAGCCAATAGAAGCGCGAGTGTTACATAGTGATGTCACACAGGGGGGGGCTGGGATATAACACACTGCAGGAAAGGGAAGTGGATGAGCTGTGCGTTTCTTTAAAAGTGTTGCATGCTGGTTGCAATATATATATATGTCCATTAAAATGCTCAACGTTTTACTGTGATATATTTTTTCAACAGTTACTTTATTACTTTATTTAAAAAAGAAAATGTATTATTATTTGTATTTGTATTCTATTTTATCTTTAGTTTTTACCTTGAATCCTGTTTTTCACTCTGACCCAGTTGCTGCTATAAACGCCTGAATCTCCTCATTGTGAATGAGTTAAAACACGTTGCATTGACCATCTGAGCGCTGTACAGAAAGCGTTGTTTCTCTCAAAACAAACACTTCAATCAGTTTGAGTTTGTGGTTGAGCTGTGCATTTTTTGTGTTGCATGCATGTTGTAACCCAGTCTGCAGGAAGGGTTAATAAAGGCGCTTTCAAGTTGTTGCTTTCATGCTTTTGGTATAGTATAGTATACCCTTGGTTTGGTTCAGAACTGTGCAAAATGGTCCAAGAAATATGCAAAGGGACGTTGAAGTTTGTGCAACAAGGTCATTATTGACAATTTTGTGAAAATGTGAAAATGATATACTATCCTATTCATAAACAGTATGTCAATGCTTCTGTAGTATATTGGATACATCTATCTATCTATCTGTCTGTCTATCTATCTATCTATCTATCTACAGTACCTATCTATCTATCTACAGTACCTATCTATCTATCTACAGTACCTATCTATCTATCTACAGTACCTATCTATCTATCTATCTACAGTACCTATCTATCTATCTACAGTACCTATCTATCTATCTACAGTACCTATCTATCTATCTATCTATCTATCTACAGTACCTATCTATCTATCTATCTATCTATCTACAGTACCTATCTATCTATCTACAGTACCTATCTATCTATCTATCTATCTATCTACAGTACCTATCTATCTATCTATCTATCTATCTATCTATCTGAGAAAGACTGCATGGGCTGGGATCGAACCAACAACAACCGGTCAAATAAGTATTACACTGCTCTGAAAACTCACTACACTAACTCCTAAGATGTTCCCTTACTATAAGTAATTAAAATATTGAACTCACAACACTGGTAATTACAAATGTACAAACTTACCATTTCTCTTTCTATAAATAGTGCTTGTGTTGATGGACGCCATTTTGAAATACAATGAAATTATCTTTTTCAAAGCCGCACCCCCACATATGTCATATGTTTGAAAAGCCCAGGATGTCCTCTGTGGAGTACAATTGGACTTAATGCTGTGGCATGTATAACCTCAAAGTAAAGGACCAAAACCCAATGTGCTCCACAGAGGACAAATATGAATGGGTGGGTCTCTGGAGGACAGTGAACTGGCAAAAGGGATCGAATCAGTGTATATTTGCAATCCATGATTTTCTTTCCGATGAAGACCAAACACGCTTTGCATGAAGAAACTACACAAAAAGATATTACACAAGTTGCTTTTTAAAATTATATTTATTTTAAAGGAAGACTTGTTGTTATGCGTCATCACACTGCTAATATGATACCTCTTGCATATAAAAAAAACAACATTTCAAACAGCAGAGACAATGATTTGTGCGACCAAAGAAACAACATAAATGCAACAAAGCCAGCATCTTTGTTATGTATTATGTACAACGCAAACACAGCTCAACACAGAAAAACACATAGCAAAACTCTTAATCGCACTGAATTGTCAAAATAAATAGGCATTGGATAACAAAAAATAAATGGGAAAACATGTTGGTTGAGGAAAATCTCATCACTCATCACAGACGATAGTATATAATCCTGCTTTGACCTGAAAACCATTCAATTTCTGCACAAATCAGCTTCAAACTGAAGATAAGTCTTGACTTGATTTGATGGTATCCTAAAACAGCAAGATTAGCTTAGTTAGGTCATTGTCGTTTTGGATGAGCTAGCAGCTTTGCACAGAAATGACAACCAATGGTATCAAAAAATCCCCATATTCACATAGTTAAATATAAGGTTGGGCATTTAGGGTGCTGGAAGGAGCTCCTGTCAATTTAAAATATGTAAATCAACATTTATCCTGGGACTGGAGTTACACAAACTGGTGAGCTAAAGGAAGAAGTGCGGAAGTAATGTGCAGAAGTTAACAAGCTAGCAAGGGAGTATTGTTGTTGTTGTTGTATGCAGAGTGTACAGCATGCAACATATTTAAATCAATCTACCGTCCTCTAATATTTATTCACGCAAAAACTCCTCGGGATGAAGACTTTGCAGAAAGGATGTTTTCCGTTTGCCAACATTTGGCTAGCTAGCCCGTCCTCATTAATTAGCTTGCTTTTTCTGCTGGACTTGTACAGGTCAGAATTCATTTACAACAGTTTGGAAATTGCGTTTCCTGACCAGTTCCACAGCAGGAGCATCTGAGTTCGAATTTCAGGAGGATTTTCAGACGTAAAAATGTACATAAAGCACCAGTCCAGTATGTCTTGTAGCCAGTGTAAAAGGCACATTACGATGGTCGAGGTAAGGAGTACTAACGTTTTTTTAAACGTTGTTAGGTTGCCTTAGCCTGAATGTGACAGCAGATGGGATCAAACCTTTCAAGACATTTTTGGAGCTTTGGCAAAAACATCTACATTGAGATTAGGCATATCTTATCCAAACTCAATTGGAAAAAGAACTGTAAACCCTTACTGTATCTGTGCTACTCCTCAACAGGATATTGTTTTAAACAAAACGTGCTGTTCAAGGACAATTCAATTTGTAGTTTTAAGTTCTTTAACGCTTTTTCTGCAATGCATCAAAAATTACTTCTTCCCTTTCTGACCTACTATCTGAAAATGTAACTGTACGGCTTATAGAAAATATTATTTCATCTTCCAGACATTTTAATACACAGCCTTCACTTACATATGTTTTGGAAATCAGCATTTAAAACTCAAGCCATGTGCGTTTTCATCTGCAACATATCTGAGACTGCTTGTGAACTTCCCGTTAACGTCAAGGCCTACGAACAATCATCCATTTATATGTACTTCAAAACCAGTGGCACTTCCTTCCACATGCTCTTCATCATCATCATCATCATCAATAGCACTTTTAACGCCTGATGCATTTCATTTCTATTCATAATTCTAGCTGCAGTTCATTTGTGCATTTCTGAGGTTTAGGAACCGGCACCCACCCAATATGATCATCCTATTTTCACTGCAAAACACACATTTTAAAATGATGCGTTTGCTTTTGTGTGCTGCACATGTAGATAAGTGAATTCCTCAGTTTTGTTTTTAAATGTATCATTAGGGAAGGCTAGAAGCGGTCAAAATGTCAGCAGGCAAAAAGCGTATAAAAATAAACACTTTAAGAAATGTGTAGCAACATGTCATAGCTTGTAAACCCTCTCACAAGACTCCATAGTTATTTCATAACACCCTGAGAGACCCACACTGCTTTTAAACCTGACTTCAGCTGCAGTCGGCATACACAGCACCAACAGAGAATGGATGCAGGATAAATTCAGGAAGTTCAATAATATTGTTTTACTTAAATATTAAACAGGCAGCAGTGTTTTAAGCAGCACCGAGCGGAGGGTGGGGGCCACTGGGAGTGGGGATGTCTTCATGGCCTTCTGTTATTCATTGAGCACCAGAGTGAAGAGAAACAGGGTCTCTGATGGGGTTGTGCAGGGGCTTAGCGAGAGGAATGTTACCAAGCGAGCTGCAATAAAATAAAATGTGAAAAACAAAAAAGAAATAGTGCTTTTTTGGGTAACTTTGATGAAATAAATGCAAGCAAGTTATGCAGAGTGTCAGATTTACCATTAATGCAAATCCTTAAATGGATGTTTGATTTAATGCGCGGTGCACCGGGTCAAGATTCTTACTCTGAGGTGAGTGTTCAGGGCAGATATTAGTTTTTAGCATTTTGTGTTTTATTGATACTATTCACACATTTGCAAATCAGATGGTATTGTTTGTCATTTATTATATATATATATATATATATATATATATATATTACAGACTTCTCCCTTAAGGTAAGGTACTTGCAGTGGTTCAACTCCTCCCGTCTAGCATGTAGGTACAAACGTCTCAACGTCCATTTCCTCATGTCATTTTTCTACAATTATTTACTGACACTTTATCTGGTGAGACGGTGTGTGTGAGTTTTCTGTTATTGAAGAAGTCCTTAGTTTCTTTACAGGTAGATTGCTGCTGGATGGGCACCAGTGCGCGTGTGTGTGTGTGTGTGTGCGTGCGTGCGTGCGTGCGTGCGTGTGTTTTTCTATGAGCGCGTCTGGTTGGCGAAGAAGGCCTTGGTCTCTCCACAGGTGGGGTTGGTGCACATGGGGCAGCGGAGGGTCAGCTGACGGGAGCAGGACATGTTGGACTTCAGGTGGGAGTTGACCAGGTCAGCCAGAGCCTGGACAAGAAGACATTCAGTGATGAGACACGGACAAAGAGACGCACCCCCCCCCCCCTTTAAAAACCTGCTTTTGTTTTCAGAACAAGGATTATTTTATACCTTTGACTAAAAGCCTGGATGATGGAAACCACGCCCACTTTCAAATGAAGAAAGCCTTGTGATGGCTAGCGCTCGTTACCTCAATGCCACCTTTTATGTTCAATTTGACTCAGTTAGCAGCTTGCTAATTAGCTAGCTATTTCCACCATGCTTTGAGGCTTTAATGAAATTGATCTAACACTTTCCAGTTTTTACAGCAGCACTCAACCATGTTTTTATTCACTTGTTAATTCCTGTTGCTTCAACTTTGCTGATTTTTCACCACTGTAGATCTGCAGTAAATATCACCCACATGTTTTACTTTGTTAGAGTGTGAAGGAGCTTTGATAGGCTGGTCTGTATTTAGTTTGTCTCATGCACATGCAAGCAGTTCACGTATTACATCATTTATGCCTATGGTCAAGTGTTTTTTGGTACACATCAAGTCTGAATATTAAGGTTTGAAAACGTATTTTCCGCATCGGTACCAGCAGTATTTTATTATCTCTTCTCTCAGACAACACACACACACACACACACACACACACACACACACACACACACACACACACACACACACACACACACACACACACACACATCACACACACACACACACACACACACACACACACACACACACACACACACACACACACACACACACACACACACACACACACACACACACACACACACACACACACACACACACACACACACACACACACACACACACACACACACACAAACACACACACACACACACACACACACACACACACACACACACACACACACACACACACACACACACACACACACACACACACACACACACACACACACACACACACACACACACACACACACACACACACACACACACACACACACACACACACACACACACACACACCACACACACAACCTCTCACTTTTAAATGTTAAAAGTGAGAGGTATTTGAACGCGAGTACTAGATGTCAAAACCTCAAAATATACTTGAAGTTTTGTATTTTATTATTCAGATAGGAGAAGAGGCAAATGTATAATCTGAGATATTTAATTTTAAAAGGTAAGAATGTCCAATGAGGAGTGTAAGTAGCAAGCTGTACAACATAGCAATCTTAAAACCCCTGACAGTTTTGTTGAACATATTTTTTTTCCCAGCAGCTGCTGCTTGCAGACGGCAGCAGACTGATACAGCTCACTGAGAAACTAAAACCACACCAAGGAAACCATCCTTCAGTAACTACCAACTAATCATCCTCTGGATATTGATTCACACACACACACACACACACACACACACACACACACACACACACACTCAGAGAGTTGGCGAGGGGTCTCTGAGCACAGCGGGTTTGACCAGCCAGCCAGCCAGGCGGTTCAGTTCTACTGTAGTCAGCTCTAAAGGTTCCCATTGATCTGCCCCTTTCCTTTAATAAACCCTACACACACCCACACACACACACACATCTACTCACAGGAGTTGACTGTTGTGAGAAAGGTTGCAGGGTTGAGGAAGACGGGAAGCAGGGAGGTGGGACGGGAAAGGAAGGATGGAAGTAAGAAAGGAGGTGAAGGAGAGGAGGAGGAAAGGAAGGAAAGAAGTAAGAAAGGAGGTGAAGGAGAGGAGGAGGAAAGGAAGGAAAGAAGGAAGTAGGAATCCATTTATTGACCACCTCCAGCGTGGAGTTCACTTACTGCACAGAACCTTCTGCTGCCGTTTCCGTTTCTATTATTAGAGCCCTGCTTGCCTTCAAACAGTCTTACATCCTTTTGTATTCCTACCTTCTTACATCCTATGTCATTATTTGCTTGTCTCCCATTTTCTTAACTTTTACACGTCCCTCTCCATATGTTACTCTCCTTAAGCTGACATTGGTTGGTTAAAGACATACCGACATGCTCCTACACCAACACTTTAAACTGATTCATCTCTGTGTGTGTGTGTGTGTTCTTTACAAAAGAAATAAACACATTAATTGCAAAAAAACGTTTTAAAAAAATGTTATGAATATGATGCATTCAAAGAAAATGTGAATTTAAACTAACAAAATTATATGTTATGTTAATACATGTGTGTGTGTGTATGTGTGTGTGTGTGTGAGAAACCTACCTCCATAAACAGAGGGTTTCCATTCAACGACTCTGCTCTCCTGATGTTCTCCACCCCACACTGAAGACACAAAGAAAGGATAGCACACAGGTTTTTTAATTACCAAAAGATATGCAGCACAGTTCAAATGTTTTCAAACAGGTTGGGTGTAATTCTATACCTAGTTTATATACATAAAACACGGAAATATCAGCATGGATAAATCAATGAAACGGCATCATTAAAGGAATGTTCATTAAATATGTAGAAAAAAGTGTTTCAAAAAGAGTTAACAGCAGGTTTCATTTTGGTGAAACTCGTCTTGACTTTGGAGAGTGGGGACATATTTAGTAAGTAAAGAGATTTTTGGACACGAAAAATGTTTTGAGACAGTGAGGACATAGAAATAGGGACATATTTGGAGTTACGTGTGTGTGTGTGCGTGTGTGTGTGTGTGTGTGTGTGGCACCAGTCACATTGATTGGTGGTCACCTCACTGGTGCCTTTACACACACACACACACACACACACACACACACACGGCTGCTGACACACACACTTTTGCCAACTTAAACTCCATATTAAGTATCAAGATAAACCATTAAATAAATTATCTGCTAGGGATGTAACGATACCAAAAACTCACGGTACGATAATATCGCGATATTGAAAAAGAAAGAAAAAAAAACATTTCGTTTTAAATAAATAATAATAATAATAAATCTGATTTGTACAGCATTTTAGTAGGATAGTAGTATTTTAAAGTGTCAAAAATATAATAATCAGACCCTGCAATAAAATAAATCTCACTCGACTCAGCATCATCAGACATGTCCACATTTCCAGGTAGAAGCTGGGATGTTTGGGCGTTTACAAAATCCCCTGCTGTGGAAAAAGCTCTCTTGCTTGGTACCGATGTTGCTGGGACAGAGAGATGTGCTTTGTCGATGGGTGACAGCAGTGGGTCAAACTGTGCATTGTCTCTCCACCACTTCAAAAACAATACCGTTTTTGCTAAGAAGGTGAAGCTTATTGACAGGGCGAGATATAAATATATTGTTGGTACTTGTCAATGTCTCTAGGTATGTAAATGTAGCCCTGTAAATACGATGTCCTTTTGTGTTATCTGTCGTTTTATGTTCATGTTGTTACGACGGTATCGAGACATTTATTTATCGCGATATTCTATATATCGTTACATCCCTATTATCTGCTGCTCACACCTGAACTTTTGAATGAACATCCATAACATTCCTCTGTTTGCAACTTATATATATCAATATTCCAATTACTTGTATATAGACTATTCTGCACTATTTCTATTATATTCTATTTTATTGTATTTACTTGCACTATTATCTGTGTTATTGTGTTGCACTGTTGGAGGAGCCTGTGACCTCAGATGTTCATTGTCATATCTACACTGTAGCTAATGCACACATGACAATAAAAGCCTTGAATCTTGAATCAAAATCCTCCTTTTTGATCCAAGAATTCCCTTACCTCCTGCCCCAGCACCTGTCCATACTCGATGTCCAGCTCGTGCAGGGTCTCGATGTGGTCCGAGGTGAAGGCGATGGGCACCAGCAGGATGTTCTTCTTCCCTCGCTCACACAGGCCTTTAATCACATCGTCCGTCTGGGGGCCGAGCCACTGCATGGGCCCCACCTGGAAGACCCAACACCAGACAGGACAAGTTGTATTCCACTAAAAGGTGGGAGATGTATTGCTTTGCACATTACAACAGTTCTACCACCCTTTAAAACAGAACAAACGGTTATAGACCCGAGAGGACGGTCCATTGTCGAGTTAACGACCTCATTAGATTTCCTCCACTGCTAACTTCACTGAGGCTCCAAGGATAGCTGAATCATCATGTTACACACTTTGATATTGTGTCTGTAATGAACACTAGGGGGCACTAGTAGGACTTAACTATTTTAGGTTGTGGTTGAAAAGGCCAAAAAGATGACATCCTATGTATTTTCCTAACCCTTTTTTACTTGACCTTGATAGAAAACGTCTTGAGATCAAGAAAATATGTGAAGGGGAATTCATTCAAGACAACTGCGCTGCTCGGAGAATCCCACTGCACTCACACTATGATATGCAAGTATGCGACCGCGGAGGTTATCGATGTTGGTCCACCGTGGTGAAAGTACAGTGTTCGAAACATGGACTTTTAAAAGTGCAGCTTCGATATGTTATCCTGTGCGTTTGTATGTAGATGTCAGCTACATAAACACGGACAACCCATTGAAAAATACAACTTTGTTAGCGAGGTTGAAATAGAAACAGAAATAAAGGCAACCAGTCGAACCAGTTCAAATTGAGATGTTTCCTCACTCCTAACCTCCTACCCACTCACACTCCCAATTAGCTTGATAGTATACATGATGATCTTTATCCCTATTGTGACTGGCGTATCTTTATAAAAGCAAAGCATTGTGGGTCAGCATGATGTCCTTTCCTCTGGTAAAGGATGCTCCAGTGTACCCTTTGCTAAATGACATATGGAAAGGGAAGCATTGGATCTCCTTTCCTTAGCATTTAGAGAATTCCACCTGCTCTTATCATGGCTGCCATTTGGAAACCGTTAGGTCATTTCTCTCAGTGAGGACACTTCCTGGGAAAATCTTTATTCTACCTGAACTCAAGTCTGCTGAAATCAAGCTTGTGTGTGTGTCCTTCTCTCTGTTCCCAGGTAGAATAGAATGGGAGGGATGAAACCCCTCTTTAATGGTCTCACATGCAGAGCACACAGCACACAGTGACATGTGTTCTCTGCTTTTAACCCATCCTAGTACCAGGAGTCTAGTACTAGGAGCCAGCTATTGTACAGCGCCCGGAGAGCAATGGGAGTGAGGGGGGAAGGGGGGTGTCCGGTGCCTTGCTCAAGGGCACAGGGCAGGAGGTGAACTGGGACCTCTCCAAGTAGCAGACCACACTCCATATTTAGGTCTGTTCGGGGACTTGAACCGGCGACCCTACGGCTCACAGTCCAAGCCCCTACTGACTGAGCCACTGCTACAAGTCACACTATAACATACCACAAAAGAAAATCTCTGGTATGGTCTCTTTTTAAAACAAGCATAATATGTCTTAAAACTAAATGTATGACATGTGTGTCCTGTGTTATGTTATTGTGTATTAAAACACATTGTGTGATTTTCTTCATGCTAAACAGGAAGCCAGCGACGCCTCCCAGTCCTCTTCTATTGTGAACAGGTGATTGGCTTCAAGAACTATTCATGACGTGGGACTTTTGAGCTCTCATTGCTCTAAAGTAGCTTCAGCATTAGACAGACATGTGGCTCCACCTGGTGGCGTTCAAAGGGAATAATGATTCTGTGATATCAGCATTAAACTGCACAGAAGAACACCGTACACGTACAGTGTGCAATATGTACTGTAGTTACAAAGATATGCTTACTTTTGAAAGGTTTGCCCACCTGCACTTATTACAGCCTGCATTTGTGAATATTAGGGTTAACATGAATACCCTCCATTCAAATTCAACCCCTCCTTCATACCTGGAAATGTATTTTTAAAGATTTTAGGTGAAGTTGGAGACTCAGAATGAGGCCTTGCTGAATAAAAGCTTGAAAATTACAGTGTCATTAATCACTGGCTTATATTTTGGACAGCGTAGCAATAAGCATATTCAGTATGAAAATACCATTACAATTCTGCACCTCAGGAAAAATGTAGTTTCATAACTTATTAATAATATTTAGTTGGAGTTCTGACAGGGACGCAGGAAGTCAGTCAGAGTTGGGGGTCCGGGGGGGGTGTGCTAGTGGCGCTTACACTGTAGGTGCGCCGCGTTTGCGCTTCAGATGAGGCTCCCTCCGCAAAATGAGGCCCCATCCGCGAGGTGAGACCCCACGCAGCCTGCGTGATCTGCGTGTAGGGAGGGGCGGCCCTGTATAATAACGTCATATTAAATTGCAGTCATTTGGTCTTAAGCAACAGCTTGTGAGAGCAGCGCATTCATCGGTGTTCGTTTTAATGCTGCCAGTTTGTTGACGGCCTGTGTGTTGACTTCTCATGCTCCCTAAATGTTTCCCCTGCCTTTCGCCAGTTGCGGCTGTGGCTCAGTGGATAGAGTGCTGGAGTGCTGGACTTCAAATCAGTGGGTACCAAGTTTGAGTCCCACTGCAGTCAGCATGTCGTTGTGTCCCTGGGCAAGACACTTCACCCCAAATTGCTCCTGTGGGGATTGTCCACAGTACTGAATGTATGCAAGTCGCTTTGGATAAAAGCGTCTAACAAGTGACATGTAATGTAATTTAATGTAATGTTAAACCCTGCTTTCACAAAACTCCCATCCCTGATCTTGTCTGCACTGACGAGCTTATTTTCTATAGCAGAGCGACAGAAGAAGCACACCGCATTATCACTCTCTCTTATATAGTGAAGCTTTTTATAGAGACTGCTTACACTAAAACGCTAACTCAAAAATAGTAACTCAAAATAAAACTTTTGTATTGATTTGTTTAGTGAACTTGTTGGCGTTGCAGTTACAACTCTCCGCCAACAGATGGGGGTGCTGCAGCCCCCTCAGCAGCCCCCCTTCCCCCGCGTCCATGAGTTCTGCTAACTGCTGGTACTTCACTAAGCACTGGCTGCTGTCTGACTCCTCTACAATAGGAGAATGGGTAGATATAGTTAATGACATTAAATAATTGAAAAAAAATACTTTTTCTCCATGCCTACAAATGAAAAGATTTACTAAGTTATATTCAGAACGGGTTGCTTATGTAAGACAGACACTTTATAAAGTTAAAAACACTTCTAACCATCAGCTGATGCACAGTTCTACTGACAAAATAAAAGGTTGCTTGGTCTCCAAAGCAAATCATTTTGTGTTTGTTTATCTGTTATAAAATGTGCTGGATTGCTCCACACTATGTTACTGAACACCTCTGTGATTATACATCCCTCTGTTAATGTCTACAGTTCATTAAAATGGTATAAGGTGCATTTAAACAACAGAGGAGAAGGGGAGGGTTTCAAGTCGTACTGCTTCTTGATTGCAGATCCTTAATTTGAACGTGTACTCACCCTGGACTGCCACACCAGTCTGTAAGGGTTACAGTGCCCCAGTCTCTCCATGACTCTCTGAACTGTGGCCCCCACCTCCTGAGGGTACGGGTCACCTCTGTTTACCACCTGCACACAGTACAAAAGGGGAAGAAGTATTACTCATAGTCGTTACAGTACAGTAGGATGACGAGTAAACGTAACAGAAGGTAAACACGTAGCAGCAGCAGGAGTATTATGTGGTAGTGAAAGTATTAACAGCAGGATCACTAATGCTGTAAAGGCAGAGAGTAGTTGTTTGGAGAAGGACGAATCATTTGGAAAGACATCTAGTTGTGATATATATTTGATTGATAATGGATCTGCTGCTTTGATGTCGCGGGGAATACTTACAGCCATAGGAAGCGAGTGTGCGGAGAACAGAATGACGACGTCGTCTCTCTTGTCCTCTGGAAACTTCAGCAGCTCGTTTTTGACGTGTTCTGCAAAACACTACACACACAAAGAACAAGGGTTTCACTACACACACACTACACACACTACACACACACAAAGAACAAGGGTTCAGAAATATAGAACTAAAAAAAATCTTGAATGATAATGGCAATAACTGTTTTTCATGATTTACTCATTTTTCAACAACACTAAGGATATTTCAGAAAGCATGTATTTATTATTTGTCATTGTTTTGTTATGTATGTTTATTTATATCTTGCATTTAGTTGTCATTAACATTAATAGCGAAATGTGACGGAAGTGATTTCAAAACAAAAGCACTCGTTTGCTCGGAACGGAGATAATATTACAAACAAGGGGAAACGAGGTGAATTTAGCGATCACAACGACAACGGCCAAGACACACATTGAGCCCAGAAAATGAATGTTATTAAGGGCTGTAAATATAATAAGCCTGTGTCTAAAATAGACAACATTGTTAGGAGATTTAAACTATACAGCGGTTCTGCACTGCGGTCAACTCAGCCGCCGTCTCTCGCGTTTGTTTTTCAAATCAGCTGCTCTCCATTTCTTGTCCTGTTATATTTGGTAATCGATACAAATATTTGTTACTATAAGTTCTTACTGTTGGACTCGGTACTAGTTTGACTGCTACCAGAAATAAAATGAAGTACTTTTACTGTGTGTGTGTGTGTGTGTGTGTGTGTGTGTGTGTGTGTGTGTGTGTGTGTGTGTGTGTGTGTGTGTGTGTGTGTTCAAGGTTCTTTATTGTCAATCTGACATAGATACAATTAATTATGTAGTTGAAAATCTTATGTCACAGGCTTCTCCAACAATGCAACATAATAACATAATAACAATAAGAGCAAGAGCAATACAAAAAGATTAGTTATAAAATAAAATAAAGTGATGATGTGGAATAGTGCAGTACGAGTCTATATACAAGTTATTGGAATGATATATATATATATATTAGGTATTAGATACATACTACTGAGTAGCAGATGAATGTTTGAAGTTGGTGTGTGTGTGTGTGTGTGTGTGTGTGTGTGTGTGTCTCACCTCCACCAGCAGAGGGTGTGTGGGCCAACGGTCGATGACGCTCCAGCGCATCTTTGGACTGTCTACTCTGTTGCTGTAGTAACGGTAGATGGCGTTCAGACTGCTGCCTGTTCATACAGAAACACACACATTCATATTTGAGTCATTACACAACATGTACCGTCCTCTGTAAACCACTTAGCCGCTCCACTGTAAGCTTGGACATAAAGTGCCTTGCTTGAAGGCACAAAGAGGGGAAATTAAAGACATGATTAAAAAAAAAAAGGGGGAAGCATCATCTGACTCAGTGTTTCTGTTCAAAATATAAAACATATGAAAGAAAAGCAGATACATACAATTTAATAATGTTGGTACTGACTTCTTTTACTTTTATATGTTTAGTTACTTTGATAATGCTGCTACATATCCCTTTCTTTGGATGTGTACTTTTGAGATGTGTTATTTAATTTGAGGTCATTTCCTTTTTATTTACTATGTTATATTTTATTTCCCTTTTATCTGCACTGTCCCTTATACTCACCCTTTTGTACAGATGTGTGTGTGTATGTATGTATGTATGTATGTATGTATGTATGTGTGTGTGTGTGTGTGCATGTGTCAGGGGATGAGCAGTAAAGCCTGTATGCGAGTGCCTAACAACGTTATGTACACATTGGTACATTCTTATATAACTAACGTGCTTATATTGAGGCTTAAAGTCAGCATTTTAGGGGCGTGGCCACTCTGAGTGACAGGTCTTAGGTCGTTAACTGCATGCTGTCTGCTTCAATTACATAAGTACTTCAGGAGTTAGACATGTCACCAAGATGGCGACCCTAGCCCTAGCCACCTACGTGTGTGTGTGTGAGAGTGTGTATTTATCAGGGTGGATGGCAGTTTGGGTGTGGGCACACTCAAAAAAGTCTCAAAAAATGGCCCTTTCATCTTTTCTGCATCAATTTATGTGATCTTTGGAAATGCGTTCTCTACAGCTCACAGAGGAGCAGCTGTTGTCGGGAGGCTTTACGTTACATCTGTTTCTCCGCTGTGTGAGCCTACCTGTGGTGGAGCAGCTGTACTGAGGATACTGCGTGAAGGCCACCGCTCTCTCCACTCCGTCCTTCTCCATCTCCTCGATGGCTTCCTCCGTCAGCGGGTGAACGTACCGGAAACCGATGTAGAACTTGTGAGGAGCTGAAGAGAAAACACACACTCATTACTGCTTGTTACTGGCTAGGGAAAAACACAAGATTGAAAAACATTCATCTGGCATTTGCATATTAAGGGAAAGATCTGAATAATCCATTAAATACATACGATACGATATTACTTTAATGGTCAGATCAAGTCTGAAATGTTACTTGCATCACAGCAGCTCCATGTGTAGCTACTTGTTTGTTTCGTTATTACACAGACTTAGTTATTATATAAAAAATAAATGGGTTGTTCTACTCTCATGAGGTTAGTGATGTCACAGGGTTTGGTTACTTTTCAGAGCGGGTGTTGTGTTGTTATCAGCGAGGTGTGTGCAGGCGTGACAAGACACTCCTCACTGTGTCACTATCTTCACTTCACACACACTCTGCTGCCAACCAGCAAGACACACACAACAGCTCTGTTATATTACGACATTGTAAAGCCCCCTACAGACAGAAGCAGCTCAGTCAGTAGGATTTGGATTGGGAACTGGAAGGTCTCCGGTTCAAGTCCCAGAAAGGTCCCAAGTAAAGAGTCTGAACTGAGGCTAAAAGCTGCCAGGTCGCTTTCTTCTTACGATAGGAGGGAGAGACTAGATGTCACTGTGTGTGGTGCTGTGCACAGGTGTGACTATTAAACGAGGCCTTGTTAAAATCCTCAGTTCTTATTTGAATTTAGTCGATCCTGATTAGCAAGTCAAGGCACCATCAAAGACACAAGACTGCATTGATGAGTGTGTCAAATGGAAGTCAAGAATGCTTTAACTAAAGTCTAACGCACTGAACCTCAAGAGTAAAAAGTACTTATAGTTACGGACCGTCCACACAGCAGTGTTAAAAAAAATCTTGGAGGTGGGCGTATCTGAAGCTTGGGGATTTTTTGCGAGCAAGGCACCAACAACCAATCACATGAATCTCCCGCCCCCGACATACGAAGCAAAAAAGTTTGAAGTAAACTGGATATAAACTCCCCAAACAGGCGAAAACATACCACTGTCTCTGCCACCTCCCTCCATGCCTGGCTCCTCCGGTTTATATCCCGGTAGGTAAATAGGGTCTGGTCATAAAGCACCGGGTGATTCCCTACCGCTAATTTCTCCTCCATTTTTTGGAATATGAGGAAATGACCTGCGGTATGTCTCTCCCAGCATACACGCCGTTTGATTGGCTAGCGCTTGAACTCTCAGATTTGCATACACGGGATTTGATTGGCTGACGCTTCCACCTCAGCCTCAAAAGTTGAACATTGTTCAACTTTGAATCCTGAAAATCCTGAAAATCTCCGCTCGCCTGCCCACAATGCAGTTCGGCGAAAAGTGAGGCAAAGTGACGTCACCCCATTCAAAGTGAATGGGCAGAAGCGTTCCAAGATTTTTTTAACGCTGCTGTGTGGACGGTCCGTTACTAATAGTTCTGAAATGGAAGTACTTTTTCAGCTAGTGAACGTCCCATAAGTAGCTGTAAGCTGAGTAGCAAAGTAAATGTAATTTATTTGAAATGTACGATTGTTTAAATGCAGATACCTAGTTTGCCTTTGTGTGGAGTATATGAACATGTGTGTGACAATTGAAAAGGAATTCATTTATGATGATAGGTCCTCCTTGATGATTGGTAAGTAATCAGGCCGTTGTGTCCTTGGGCAAGACACTTCACCCCAATTTGCTCCTGTGGGTAATGTCCACAGTAATTACTCTTACATGTCTAATATGTGTAATGTGTAATTGTAAAGCGCTTTGAACACCTGCAAAAGCGCTCTAATAAAAAATGTGATGCATTATTATTATTAATCTGAGCAAGAACTCATAAATTAAAAGGCGTGTTATGTGACAATTATGCAGGAAAATCTAAATTATGTGAAGTTAATTTTAATATATCAAAAAAGTATTTTCTAGCCAAGAGCGATGCAAAGCAGGGTCGGCAAACTAGCTAACTGTTACCCAAGCTAAAGGTTACTCAGCTAAACAGGATGGATCAAGGTTGTTAGCTTCTTAACATTAGTTGATGAAGTTATATAGTAGTATCGGAGAGTAAATGGTCCAAATAAAATACAGTAGTATCACAGATCGTGTCATTATCATGATACACATAATGATTTATGATTGTAATGTAGTGTCACGTGGCTGTTTGATGACGGGGGGGGAAGAAGTGTCTCACCCGTGTCAGGGCTCATCTCGTCCAGCAGCTTCACCATGCCCTCCCCCTGCATGGAGGTCCAGTGTTTGATGGGCGAGCCCCCCCCGATTTTACTGTACTGCTCCTGGATCTTTGGAGTCCGTCGCCTAGCGATGAGCGGGCCGAGCTGTCTGTACAGCAAAGGGCAGGTTTTTTTTAGAACAATACACAAAACAATTGATTCCTATATAACAAATCACCACTGGCTGGCAGAGAACTATCTGCTCCATAGCTTCTTGGACAACTGGACTCTAAATCACACTGTACATTTCATATTTAATATTCCATTACTCACATACTTATGTATATATAATATCCTGCTTTATATTTTGTCACTGTACATTTGTAATTCAACATGTATATTTTCTACTTTTTTTTGTATTGCTAATTGAGATGTTGACATTTTTAAATGTTTATTTCTTGTCTTTTAAATTTTAGTCTGTCTGTCTGTCTGTCTGTCTGTCTGTCTGTCTGTCTGTGCGTGTGCGTGTGCGTGTCCATGGTGCATACTTCTGTACAGGCAGCTGAATCAGGTCTGTGTCCATGAAGAGCCGCCGCAGGAAGTCATGAACGTCTGATAGTTTCTCCGGTCCTCCCATGTTCAGCATCAAGATGCCCGTCTTAGGTTTCCTGCAGGCACAAGAGATTCATTATTAATAATTAATATCAAACACATGGTGATTTGTTATTACATTACATGACATGTTACTTGTTAGACGCTTTTATCCAAAGCGACTTACATACTACAATACTGTGGACAATCCCCACAGGAGCAATTTTGGGGTGAAGTGTCTTCAGGGACACAACGACATGCTGACTGCAGTGGGGTTTGAACCTGGGCTCCCCTGATCCGAACACCAACGCACTAGTCCACTGTGCCACACACCTCCCTATTTGTTCTGATTATTAAAGGCAAGGTCCAAGCCGTTTTGTAACTATTGTCCCCATAGGCTATAATGGTAATTAGTGCTAATTAACAAAACGTATGCTAATTTCCCAACATATGCAAGTTAGCATCCGGCAGTCTCTACTGTATGTGCTGGGGACCCGTACTGTACATTTTTCACATAAAACTTCGTAGGTACATTTTCAGGTTCACTATAGGACTCTATGAGCTGGACACTAGACTAATAACTTATTTTTTAAATACGGAGATTAACCGACAACTATAGACAGTCTGTCAGCCGCAGACGCTCAACGACGTAAGCACTTCAGATCCCAGATGGCTGAGGGTTGTCCTGTGTGTGTGTGTGTGTGTGTGTGTGTGTGTGTGTGTGTGTGTGTGTGTGTGTGTGTGTGTGTGTGTGTGTGTGTGTGTGTGTGTGTGTGTGTGTCACCTGTTCTCCTGTGTGTCTGGAGTCTGGGCAAAAGCAGCAGCAGCAGTGGAGCGTCTCCTGACACTCAGACTGACGCTGCTCCTAGCAACTACAGCAGAAGAAGAAAACAGGTTATCTATTAATCTGTTGTAAATATACGGAGAAAGCACATTTGCATTCATACACTTAATGCATTCAAAATGTTCCCCCTCTGAAATGTTTAGTGTAAGACCAAACCGGTTGTTCGTTTTTTCTTATTGCAACAAATTAATAGTTATTATTTATTATAAATACGCATGTGGATCTACATCATTTCCTAATACCACACATTTGTTTAAAAGCACATCTGATTTGTGTTTCACCTCTTGAATTTAACTAAAAGAGACAAATGTTTTTTTCCCAAGCATTCAGTGGTTGTTTTTTCTACTTCCTCCATCAATAGTTTAATTTAGAAAACTTTAAGAAATGTGTGAATACACTCAAACCATTCATTCATCAATTATTGAGTAATCTGGATTTGGGACCGGGTATTAGTCATGATAGGAGCCTGGCTGCACCATTACATAAAAATGAAAATAATCTACAGTAGATGTCATGTGAATTAAACTATACCGATAAAAGCACAATACATTTGGCTTCTTTGGAAATGTTGGGATCTCCAACTAAATGTTCACAAAGTTATGTTAGTTACAAAAATGTCTGACAAGGTTGCATAAGTATGATAAGTAAAATAGTGGGTCCATTATCCTTAAATGACCTTAAGTGGAGCTAAACAAACCTTTATAAATAAATAGTACGCTGATATCAGAACCAGTTTGGGGGGGGGGGGGGGGGGGGACAGAGACAACAAGCTGCAGAAGATGCAATATACTGATTTGTGTAAATGAATGTCTCATTTTAAAGTCTAACACAGAAATCCGCTTTACTTTCATAACCCTGAGCTGCAGTACCACGAGGCGCCACCAGAGGCAGGCTGCCATTATGCAAGTTCACAATGCTGGAATTGTGTAACTACGTTTCAATGTTTAGTTATTCCTTATTCGTCGTGGAAAATTAACACTTTTTACGGATCCTCTGGTGGATACTAAATGCAGCAAGGGATACGTCCAGTATTCAACATTAACGTTTAACTGTAACCTACAGTACAGGGTATCGTAAAAACACCGGGCGTTAGTCTAGCTCCGGAAACAGCGCATTTTGTTTGTAAAATAAAAGCACATCAGCGGAGACCCTCCAGCAAATACTAGGATTTAGAATTTAAAAAATGGCAAACATGAAAAGGCAATACCACTTCAGTTCAGTTAAAGTGGAACCACATGGATGCTGACGTGATAAATGTCAATAAAACAAAGAATTGTGCTTTAAATTCACAGCAATAGTTTTATTGTGAAAGTTCTGACCGGAAGTTGTACCTCCACATCGTTGCTAACTTTACGAAACGAAGCCAATGTCAGCGTGTTGTTGAGTTTACACTATGTTTAATCAAACAATCATCACTCGAAACTGAATTAATACAGCATGAAAGAAACACAGTAGCACAGTTCACTTTGTGACAGTACAAAAGCGACATTATGACACTTGAAGATATCAATGCATATATGTAAACAGGCTAACTTAGCTCACAATCACACTCACATTGTATTAAACGACCCGCGCTGCCAAAGACTGCCATCATGATAGTTTCCGTTTTCAATGCCAGTAAAAGTCCTTGTCCCCACTGTTATGAAGGCCGGATACTTAGTAATAGTCCACGAGTGTTTCCCCACACTGAGTAACTCGCAGCCCGGTGTAAGGACAGATTCCTTCAGCTACTACCGGCTGGCTGCACTGACCCTCCCCTGTCAAAACTGGCAATGATAGCTTTCATACTTCCGGTTTCAAATTTCAATGTAAAACTACTAGTGACAAAAGTGGCATGATGCAGCAGTTTGGAGAATATTGTACTTAATCGTTTTCACATGGACGCATAGGTTATTCACCTATTCACTTGTTGTCATTATTTGTATTTATTACGTTATACTTTATTTACAAGTTTATTGTAATTATGGTATTTTTATTACTATTATATGTGTCTTTTTATTCCTCTTGTTCCTCACTTTGTTTTATGGGGTTTTATATTTGATGTGTTATATGTTGTTGCATCGACTCAGTTGTCTTGTGTCTTATCTGTCAGAGAGAAACCATTATTTATTTTATTTTATGTTTATTATCATACATTTTACCTCCTTGTGTCTATGAACCTGATAAAATGTTATATTTTGCCGCATGTACCTTTTAATAATCTGAGGGGAATTTCTTGTTGTGTATTTCTAACTTGTGATGTGTCATTTTGTAAAGCACTTTGAGCTGCATGTGTTGTATGAAAAGTGCTATGTAAATAAAGCTTTATTAGTATTATTATTATCATTTATTGGTTTCCTATGTATTATTGCATGGGCGTCGTCACTTTGTCAGAAAAAGTGGTTGGGACATTTTTTTCCAGATTTAAAGGGGACCTATTATGCAAAATCCACTTGTTCATGTCTTTTCTACATCAACATGTGTCCCCTGGAAAGAGATTCTGAAAGTTTCAGGAAAAAAGATTCTCTCTTTTTGTCCTGATCCATTTATATAAAAACCTGTCTGAAAATGAGCTGATCAGATTTTGGCCACTTTGTGATGTCATAACGATGTTTTGGCTTGTGTAACCATTAGCCAGTAACCCCCCCCCCCCACACACACACACACCTTATCACCTGGATCTCCTCCTAGAGCACCATTGAGTTCTTTTTAACCAAATATCTCTCAGAGGGGCGTGGGGAGTGGCTCCTTATTTTCATCTAAAGTAACAGACAGAGAATCAGCACTTTTGAAATAGGGCTGAAACAGAGGGGATTATTTGATGCTGCAATGATCTGTTTGGTGTTTCAGCCAATCAGAGACATGTTCTGTATATATCTGAGACCTATAATATATTGATGAAAATCAGTATAATAGGGGACCTTTAACATCAGCATAGCAGAAGACAACAGATGTCCCTCCCCTGGATGTTGAACCTTGAGCACCTGCATGAAAAACCAATGACTAGACCTCTACTTTCAATTGCTCTGAGTCTTTAACAATATCTTTGAGTTGCTACCATATTTAATTTCACTTCCTCTGACCAGTCCCCCTTTTATTTGGAAGCGTTGTGTCAAGTTGTACACAGTGCAAGGAGGAACACAGTGACTCTTCTCTGTCAATACATATTTTAAAAGCTTACAGCAACTAAAATTAAGCACATGCAATAAAAACAAATCCTTGATGGAAAAGCCTGTATACCTTAAACAGATGTTATTAATGTAGTAAAACCACCAGGGGAAGTTTTAGGAGGTGTGAGAAGTGATTTTGGTAGAACTTGACTTTATGACAGGGACGTTTTTTAATATTGCATTGCAGTCTGCTTTCTAGTTAAATCAAAACAACAATTGTATTAAGTGTCATTGTTATTTCTCTTTTTTTAAGTAGGACACGTGCGGCAGCATTTTACCCCGAATGTGAATAATTCCATGCTTTTATGTTGGATGTATGTTCGCCACAGTTCCGGTCTGGAGCTATCTCACTCTGGTTGTTTTGGCGGAGAGCCGTAATCTTTGCATGACGTCACATCTACGTTGTCTTTATCAACCCAACGGCATCCGTGTGTGTGTGTGTGTGTGTGTGTTCTAAAATCATTTTTAAGAATGAAACTGTATGTCTCCTTAAAGTGAATGCTAAATATTTGTGTAGTACTAAAACAGATCTGAAAGTGCCCACTGATGCAGCCTTTACCTGTTAAACTGTCAGCTCTTTTAAAATAAAGTAATGACTGTGTTTTTGAAACTGCTCTAGTATTTTTACCACGACTGAGGTTCCTTCCTCCTCAAAACCACATTCTGAGAAGGAAACAGAAAACCAAGGAGGAACCAGGAAGAGTCTTTCAATAAACACAAAGCACACCTTTGTCCTTCACTTATTCATAAAGGTGTTCTTCTACCAATGTACAAGCATTGTAAAGTATAATGCCATCTCATTTTTTTATGCTTCATTAATTTACATTCCATAAATAATAGTGTCTTATGTGACATTATAGTGATTTTACAGTAAATGAAAGGAATGTTTACTTCAACCGGCCCTTTGTGGATATTTTTTAGGTATTCAAATATAAACAAAAATGACTGATTATTCTAAAACATACTTTTAGAAGTTTGTCACTTCATTAATGTAATTCCCTATATTATACTCATTTTTCAGATTTCTTTATAAAACGTGGTTTTTATATGAAAAACTACTGGAGTCTGTCTTGTTGATTTTTTGACATACATTTTTGGGCTATATTTAATATAATACACACTATACTTGGAATACAACCTATTGCCTCCATTAATAAAAGATTGGCCGATGAACTTGGTTGTCTTTAGATGAACAGAGAAAGCCTCAAAGTTGAATCTGATAGTTACATAAAATATTCAGCTAGCATGTGGTGTTTTGGTCAACATTAGAAAACGAGAACAAGAGTTACAAATATAACTACAAACACAGATGTTTAACAACCTAACCTAAAGAAAAGCCTCTTACAAACCATCCGTTAGAATCACATTTATTTCAGTGCAGTTTATTGAGTTGAGGAGTAGTTGAAATAAGGAGGCAGAAACACAAACAGTTTTTCTCACATATATAAACCATCAATCCTGAAATGCAAAGGCTGCTCCGAACGTTCTTTTACCCACTTTCTTTTGTAATGTTCCCAAATGCATGAAAAGTGCACCAAAGCAGCGCTGTTGGTTTGATGTTTAAGCATTGGTCTACCAGCACAATGATGAGAGTGTGTGTACCTGCCTTTACTGTTTTTACACCACAACTAACACACAGAAAACACCAACATATTTCAGCCACTGAAGAACTCGATTGAGACATTTTTTAACAGCACTTGCACACAATCGCAGGAAACTAAAGTGATTATTCTTGTTAATTATCCACCAATTAGAACATGATCAGAGGAAGAAATTATCCCATTCAGGTTTCACGTCAGAACAAATAGGAAAAGTTTGAGGCGGAGCACAGCAGGTGGAATCTCTAACTGTGGACGTAGTTTGATAGAAAAACAGCCAAGGGACAAAACAGTATGATTGGATTTGATATTGGAGCAACACATTTAATGTCCCACATGCCAGGTGTGTGTGTGTGGGTGAGAATATGTGTGTGTGTGTGTGTGTGTGTGTGTGTGTGTGTGTGTGTGTGTGCGCTTTCAGGGCCTGCAGCGCTGGATGAAGCGTGGGTACAGGCAGACGTCTCTGATGTGATGTCTGTTCAGCAGCCAGGTGAGGAAACGCTCCAGACCCAGACCGTAGCCGCCGTGAGGACATGTGCCGTACTTCCTCTGAAACACACACAGCCGGTTAACACACATTATTAACAAGACAAGGAACACACAGTAACAGTACGTCCACACGGCAGCGTGCGTTGAAGCTTGCCGGTGGGCGTGTCTGGCTCGCGACCAACAACCAATCACATTAATCTCCCGCCCCGGAGACACAAGCACGCGGTTTGATTGGCTAGCGCTTGTACTGGCATATGATTTGATTGGCTGACGCTTCCGTCGAAGCTTGAAAATTGGGTTGGGGCGAACGTCAGATGTTCAGGAAGTTTGTTCCAGGTCTGCGGCGCATAGAAGCTAAAATTATAGCTAATATAATATGTTAAGCAAATTGTATACCATAAGATGATGACTGTTACCAAGACACTCTTAAAACAGAGGCCTTAGTTAGCAGTCAATCAAAAATGCCCTGAAGTGATGCATCACCGTTGAATAAAATATCACTTAAACTGTTGAAACAATTACCCAAGCCGCTTACGCTCCAATACAGAAATGGTATTCCTTGCTGAGCCAATGTGGAAATAAAGTAGCGGTGGTTTCTGTTACCTGGTCAGTGTACCAGTAGTAGGGGGTGGGGTCGATTCCCTCCCTCTTGAACCCCTCCAGCAGCTCCTCAGCGTCCCAGATACGCATCGAGCCTCCGACGATCTCGCCAACGTTCGGCATCAACACATCGACCTGCAGCACACACACACACACACACACACACACACACACACCATCAGAGAGAACTACACTTCAGGGCCTCGATCCAAAAGCTGTCTTTAGATGTAGAGCTCCCATCTGTGCTCCATACATACATTTATTTCCTTTAAACAGAAACACCTCCCTCTGCAATAAGACTGTACTGAATGTTTTAAAGCGCTTACTGAGTTTTTTTTAATAGAGCTTTATGTCAACAAATATTAACTGAAGCAGAATATTTTGTTAAATAAAGACATCTTGTGAATTTTGAAAAGATGTACATCCAGCATTTTGAAATAAATGTGGAGTTTTTGGATCACACCATTTTGAAGAAAATATCCACCACCGCTTGAATCTAATCCTTTAAATAGAATGATGCTAATAATATCTGTGTAGCCTAATCTTTATCTAGTGATTCTAGTCTATCTTGATTAACTTTGCAGAAATATCGTCTTCCAACACAAAAAGGAAAGCTGCCAATGTCAACGATATTACTAACGTTTGAAGCCCTACATTATAATACCCAGCTGCATTAGATTGAATAGAATATATCTGTATTGTCTTCATACAAAGTACCACGACATTTATTTGGCAGTCAAGAAATAGACAAAAATAAATAAATTGTGGTAAAAGCAGAGGTAGTAGCGATGGCAGTGCAACGAGATACAATTAAATGTCAATGTGCATATTTACACTTATAGTCTAAAGACGTTAAATGTACAAAACTGTATACATGTAGTGAATTTCTAACTGTGTGTTCATAAAGGGTTTTAGCAAACAAAGGATGCAAGTAAAATAGCCATAAATATTTCTAAACAGTAGTGGTCTTTGAGGGGCGGAGGTGTGTTTATGGATGTTCACAGATGAATGCCACTCTCCACCCCCACCTCCTCGCCCAAAGTTTAACCCCCCCGGTCCGTACCGACTCGGTGAGGCGCCTGTCGTCGTCGCAGCGCTTCATGTAGAAGGATTTGATCTCGGCGGGGAAGCGGCAGAGGAGGATGGTCTCGTTCAGGGCGTCCGTCATCAACCTCTCCGGAGCCTCGGGGATGTCCTGAGAGAGGGACACACACAAATCAAACATCAGGAGGAGGTTCCTCAGCCTGAGGTCGAGCACCACCCGACTAAAAAACTGTATTTTCCACCAGGCTGTCAGGAGGCTGAACTCTCTCCCCTCCCTCCCACCTGCTCCCACTGGACTATAACACATCAAGAGAATGGCGGTGCTCCAGATCTAATAATGTGACTTGATCTTGGTGTTTGCTCCTCATCCGATTACTTCGGCCATGGTCAAGACATATAGCCGCTCTACTGCAGCTTCTTGGGTTTCTCCTCAGATATTCTGGTGTGTGTGTGTGTGTGTGTGTGTGTGTGTGTGTGTGTGTGTGTGTGTGTGTGTGTGTGTGTGTGTGTGTGTGTGTTGTGTGTGTGTGTGTGTGTGTGTGTGTGTGTGTGTGTGTGTTGTGTGTGTGTGTGTGTGTGTGTGTGTGTGATGTGTGTGTGTGTGTGTGTGTGTGTGTGTGTGTGTGTGTGTGTGTGTGTGTGTTGTAGCGGTCACCTCTCCAAACTCATAGAAGGAGCCGTCTTCCTTCTTGATGTCGTGCTCTCGGAGCCACTCGATGGCTTCAGTGTAAGCCATCCTCTTGAACGGCCTCTTGGGTGGTTTGAAGTTCTGTGGGGAGAAAAAATTACTATATTTACTACATTAATATCAAAGAACTTAGATGTGCTTATGAAGACCATTGTGATGAAAAAACTCAGTTACTAAATGGAGCGTAAGCTGAGATATCAGTGTCATTTTTGTCCAAATAAAGCTTTCAAGTAAAGCTTGTCGTCAAACTTTTATACATTTGGGATGTATTGGAAAAAATATTCACAACGCTCTAGAATTATATCTGCTGTCGTTGTGTTTCATCAACTTGTTTCAGCACTTATGGCGCGTTTCCACTACAGCGCGGAGCACGGTTTAAGAGGGCTGTGACGTCAGCGGCCCGTCTTTGGTTGCGTTTCCACTTGGCCGGCGGGTCCTAATTCACAGTTTTTCTGGCCTCATAAAATCACGGGTCCAGGGCCAGAGACAACGAGGCTGAGTCGGGCTGAGTATGCTAAACTAGAGAGAGCGTCGCTGGCAAGGGGGCTACAACTACAACAAGATGGACATATTTGACCGTGATTTAATTGTAATACACGTTTCAAAATGATGCCGAAGTAACAACATACTGATACCGGTTAGTAAAAACCATGAATTAATGCTTTGTCAAGTCTGCAGACAGACGGCAGGCGAAAAACCTTTTAAAATGCGTGTTGTCTAAATGGAGATCGGCTAAGCTAACGCAGTATATGCTCCGACCATCCACACTCACAACAACGGCCTATACAGACATAAATAAAGCAGCGACTGTATTCGCCATGACACAGGCAGTCTGTGGTTGTACTTGTTTAACTTTTGTCTAGTTTCTGAACATATATGAGGAGCTGTGAGCTCTGAGTGCTAACAGCTAACGGCTGTGTTGTTTTTCTGGGGTTTTCTGAAGATCACGTCACGGCTCCGCCTACACTGCGTTACTATAGATACTACCCCAGTTCCTAAACTGTAATGGAAATGCGCCATAAAGTGAGCCAGTGATTGAACACACTCCCAGATATTGAGAAAAAGGCGGCGTACGGGGTTGATGTCGTAGAGCAGCTGAGCGGCGGGGGACTTCAGCACTCGGTCCACCACGTCACACACCAGGTCCTCCAGTTTGTTCAGCAGGTCTTCAAAAGACATGAAGGGACACTCGGCCTCGATGTGAGTGTACCTGAACACACAAAGGTATTTATTACATCAGAAAGCAGGAGGACGACAGGCTTAGTTTCATCAACTTTTACTTATAAAGCCCAATATCAAAATACAATTGTTTAGTAAGATCTTAGACCAGGGGTGTCAAACTCAAGGCCCACGGACCAAATCCGGCACGCAACCTCATTGTATGTGGCCCGCACGAGCTTGCAAAGAATATAATACATTTATTATACGGTTACATACCGCTTTACAAAAGCATGTTGCCCATAAACTACATATCCCACAATGCATTTTGTTTTGTGACATGCGCACTGAAGAGAATTGCAATGATTTGCCCTAGACTTCTGCTTTCAGACGTAGTTATGTATTGAGTTATTACCCTATCCGATAATAATCCAATGCAGAAGCAATAATGTAACATAATACATTATTTTATATATATTATACATTTATATATGTATATTTTTTTATTGTCTTAAGTTACAACCGGCCCTTTTGAGTGCAACAATAATTCTAATGTGGCCGGGAAGTGTGTGTGTGTGTGTGTGTGTGTGTGTGTGTGTGTGTGTGTGTGTGTGTGTGTGTGTGTGTGTGTGTGTGTGTGTGTGTGTGTGTGTGTGTGTGTGTGTGTGTGTGTGTGTGTGTGTTGCTCACTCGGCCAGGTGTCTGCGGGTGCGGGACTGCTCCGCCCGGTAGGACTGGGCGATGCAGAAGGTGTCCCCCAGGGCGGGGATGCAGGTCTCCAGGTAGAGCTGAGAGGACTGCGTCAGGTACGCCTGCTCGCCAAAGTAGTCCAGGTTAAAGAGCGTGGAGCCGCCCTCCACCTGCGTCTGCACAAAGGTCGGAGGAGTGATCTACACCAAGGAAAACAACAACAAAGGATTACATAAACAGAGCGGGTGCGTAGGGCAGAGGTGGAAGGAGTACTCAGATCTGAAGTACCAGAGTGTAGGAATACTCTGTTTCAGTAAAAGTCCTGCATTCAAAATGTTACTCGAGTAAAAGTAGAAAAGTATTATCATCAGAATATAGTTAAAGTAGCGACAGTAAAAGTAGTCATTGTGCAGATTGGTCCATTTCAGAATAATATATATGATATGTCTTGTTCTTCATTTATATTCAATTTAATATTGAATAATCAATTTCTTGCACAATTAATGTATATACAATATCCTGTTACTGGAAATTTGTATTTCCACATGTATATTTGTTACTTTTTAATGCTATTTTATTTCTACTTCAGAAATATTTTGGATTGTTTATTTCTAGTGTCTTAATTTCTCTTATTAATTGCCTTGTTTTTTATGCTGCTGCAACGCAAACATTTCCCAAATTGGGATCAATCTGTCTGTCTGTCTATCTATCTGTCTATCTATCTGTCTATCTATCTATCTATCTGTCTGTCTATCTATCTGTCTATCTATCTATCTATCTATCTATCTGTCTATCCATCTATCTGTCTATCTATCTGTCTATCCATCTGTCTATCTATCTGTCTATCTATCTGTCTATCTATCTATCTATCTGTCTGTCTATCTATCTGTCTATCTATCTATCTATCTATCTATCTATCTATCTGTCTATCCATCTATCTGTCTATCTATCTGTCTATCTATCTGTCTATCTATCCATCTATCTGTCTATCCATCTATCTATCTATCTATCTATCCATCCATCTATCTGTCTATCCATCTATCTGTCTATCTATCTGTCTATCCATCTGTCTATCTATCTGTCTATCTATCTATCTATCCATCTATCTGTCTGTCTATCTGTCTATCTATCTATCTATCCATCTATCTGTCTATCTATCTATCTATCCATCTATCCGTCTGTCTGTCTATCTATCTATCTATCTATCCATCTATCCGTCTGTCTGTCTATCTATCTATCTATCTATCTATCTATCTATCTATCTGTCTGTCTGTCTGTCTGTCTATCTATCTATTAGTAGAGTATTGAATCTACTGGATAGTCAATCTAAGATCCTGTTATCGATTGCTTTTGTCTCCACCCACATAGCCAGGGGTTTCTTTGCATTTGCTTCATTTAAGTTTACGCTGACGAAACACCCCTTTCCCTCTTTCTTTACGGATTCCTTCTCCCCTCTCATCAGGGGGGGGGGGCTCTTCACCTCGCAGTATCCTTTGCTGAAGAAGTGATCTCTGAAGCACTGCGTGACGGTGGAGCGCACGCGGAGCACCTTGGACACGTTCTCTCCTCTGATCAGCATGTGTCGGTTGTTCAGCTGCACGTCCACGTCTGACTCCTCGTTCAGGAGGTTGTCGGCCCCGCCAGCCGGAGCTAAGCCAATCAGCTCCCAGAAGTCACAGTGTAGCTCGTGGCCCCCGGGCGCCTGGAAGAGGAAGACAAAAACTCACTGACGACCCTCTTCATTTTTTTTTTTTTTTTACAAAACAAACTTTAAAGGTCACCTATTATGCAAAATCCACTTCTTCATGTCTTTTCTACATCAACATGTGTCCCCTCTTCTTCATGTCTCTTCTACATCAACATGTGTCCCCTCTTCTTCACGTCTCTTCTACATCAACATGTGTCCCCTCTTCTTCATGTCTCTTCTACATCAACATGTGTCCCCTCTTCTTCATGTCTCTTCTACATCAACATGTGTCCCCTCTTCTTCATGTCTCTTCTACATCAACATGTGTCCCCTCTTCTTCATGTCTCTTCTACATCAACATGTGTCCCCTCTTCTTCATGTCTCTTCTACATCAACATGTGTCCCCTCTTCTTCATGTCTCTTCTATATCAACATGTGTCCCCTCTTCTTCATGTCTCTTCTACATCAACATGTGTCCCCCTCTTCTTCATGTCTCTTCTACATCAACATGTGTCCCCTCTTCTTCATGTCTCTTCTACATCAACATGTGTCCCCTCTTCTTCATGTCTCTTCTACATCAACATGTGTCCCCTCTTCTTCATGTCTCTTCTACATCAACATGTGTCTCCTCTTCTTCATGTCTCTTCTATATCAACATGTGTCCCCTCTTCTTCATGTCTCTTCTACATCAACATGTGTCCCCTCTTCTTCATGTCTCTTCTACATCAACATGTGTCCCCTCTTCTTCATGTCTCTTCTATATCAACATGTGTCCCCTCTTCTTCATGTCTCTTCTACATCAACATGTGTCCCCTCTTCTTCATGTCTCTTCTACATCAACATGTGTCCCCTCTTCTTCATGTCTCTTCTACATCAACATGTGTCCCCTCTTCTTCATGTCTCTTCTACATCAACATGTGTCCCCTCTTCTTCATGTCTCTTCTACATCAACATGTGTCCCCTCTTCTTCATGTCTCTTCTACAGCAACATGTGTCCCCTCTTCTTCATGTCTCTTCTACATCAACATGTGTCCCCTCTTCTTCATGTCTCTTCTACATCAACATGTGTCCCCTCTTCTTCATGTCTCTTCTACATCAACATGTGTCCCCTCTTCTTCATGTCTCTTCTTCATCAACATGTGTCCCCTCTTCTTCATGTCTCTTCTACATCAACATGTGTCCCCTCTTCTTCATGTCTCTTCTACAGCAACATGTGTCCCCTCTGTGTAAAGAGACTCTGAAAGTTTCAGGAACAAAGATTCTCTCTTTTTTTGTCCTGATCCATTTCTATAAAAACCTGTCTGAAAATGAGCTGATCAGATTTTGGCCACTTTGTGATGTCATAATGATGTTTTGTCTTGTGTAACCATTAGCCAATCAGCAACCAAGGTAACCCCCCCCCCCCCCCCCCCCCTCTTAAAATCTGTTGGAGCTTGGATTATAAAGAGTTGATATTGATAGTGTGATACGAGACCCGATTTCATCTTAGATGTTGGTTATATGTTAATATACAGGGCTGCCCGATTTAGAAAAATTAAGATTATATTGATTGCAAATTGTGATATGATTACCAATCTTGGAGGAACATTATTCTTATTATCATTATAAAATATATAAAAATGATTATGGAGTATTTATGTAGGATCTGTACCAAACAAATATGTTTTGTTAAGTCTGTAGAAAACTATTTGTAGTCCGGAATATCAGCAGCTTGACAATATTGCATTTGTTTATATTGCAATTTCAATAGAACTGTTCAATTTAGTGTGCAGCCCTAGTTATAAACCATATTTACCAGGTTAACATAGTTAATATAACATGTCTGACTTCTTGCATAACCTCATTTCCCCGAGTAACCTGCTTTCTTGTGTGCATAAACAATTACTGCAGGTTGTGTGTGTCGTGCAGGTTGTGTGAGTTGTGCAGCAGGTTGTGTGAGTTGTGCAGCAGGTTGTGTGAGTTGTGCAGCAGGTTGTGTGAGTTGTGCAGCAGGTTGTGTGAGTTGTGCAGCAGGTTGTGTGTGTTGTGCAGCAGGTTGTGTGTGTTGTGCAGCAGGTGTGTGTGTTGTGCAGCAGGTGTGTGTGTGTTGTGCAGGTTGTGCGAGTTGTGCAGCAGGTGTGTGTGTTGTGCAGCAGGTTGTGTGTGTTGTGCAGCAGGTGTGTGTGTTGTGCAGCAGGTGTGTTTACCTGTTTCCCCTCGGGCACTGCAGTGACGGTGCCGTACAGACCTACAGTGCTCTCTGTGGACAACACCAGGCCGTTGTAGCACTGACACTGAGGACAGGAAGGAGGAAACAAGTCAGTGTGAGGTAGCCTCAGAGGGAAGAACACAGCACCAGCATGTATTTATAGCATCATCACAAGCAGTAAAACAAACTAATCTTAGGTTGATAACGATCACTTGGGATTGAAGTGTTTACTCTGGTGACCAAAGTAAGCTCTCCAAAATACAATCTGTGTTTTTTCTTAGTTTTTGTATCTGTTTATGTGAGCTTAAATGATTATATTACAACAAAAAGGGAAAAGTACAGCACTTTATGATTTAATATAAATTCTTAAAGTTGTTTATAAGAGTGTAAAAAGCAAAGTTATTAAGTTGTACCAGTTTATCAGACAGGACACACTGGAGGAAACCAGTCCCGTCTCTCAGCACGATAAACATCAGGTTCTTTCCTGTAAGAGAAAACAAATACAGAGAACAACACATCAAACTTCTGTCAATCAAGTTCAAAACTAAGATATCCTTAATTCAAGTGTTGCCTTTTCAACTGGAAGGCAGAAACGAAAAAGAATATGCCAAAAAAACCCTGGAGATGTTTCATTTAAACGTAAAACAAGATGTTTTTGTGTTCCTGTGTGAATCTCCTCACCCTGTCTCCTGAGGCGATGCACCCATCCAAACACTTTGACCCTCTGACCTCTCTTGGCCTCCAGATGATGGATTTTAACCTGAAAAACACACTTCAGTCAGACAACTCACGTGTTTCTTAATATGTTTATTAGAAGCAGCATATAGTTTGAGTTTGGCGTCTAGGCTCGGGCCTCATCACTCCACAGCTACGGTGAGACGATCTCCTGTAAAAGCTCCGTAAAGGTACGTGTTGTGATGTCTGTGTTTGCTTCCCCTGTCGCGAGTTCGGATCGCTCAGTGATGATACTATACCAAAATAATCAGTGGAGTCTCAGCTTTAATCGTCTATATTGTATGTGCAGTTACGATAAGTAATAAGGGTATCTTTATCTTGAGTTCTGTGCTAAGTGCGTTAGCATTTTTTCGCTTAGTGCTAATTCAGAGGCTTGGTATTACCCTTGTGTTTTGTTTTGGTAAAAATGGTTCATATCTTCAGTTAGCTGAGATTCTTCCCGTTAATCTGGTGCTACACATTAATAGTTTCATAAATGTTAAGAAGCCCTGAGACACAGTCTCGAAAAAAAACAGTGGGGGGGGGGGGCCACTGGGGGGACCGTCGTCCTTAAGAGGTTAAAGCACTTTCAAGAATCAAGAATAATTTACACACATTATATTGATTTTGCTAACTTAAAACTTAACTTAAGAGGCAGTATACCTCTAGTGAGTGGCCCAGCCCTTCGTATATTTTTCTGTATGTGGCCCTCGGTGAAAAAGGTTTGGACACCCCTGCTCTACATGGTCAAAACGACCTTAGTGTTCAGAGAGCATGACAAAGCAGTGTACTAAGGGAAGTGTCCAGATTGAGACAGAGCATATATATTGCAGTAGAAAGAATATGGCGTACCGTTTCAGGCTCAGGCAGGCTGAGGTCCTTCTCAATGGTGATCTTCTTGGCTTCGTCCATGTTCTTCTCTCTCCTCTCGGTGTCCTCCGCCTGCCACAACAGACATAGAGACACACTTCTTCATCGTGTACAAGAATTACAGTTTTAAGGCTGTTTTAGGAGCGGATGTAAAGAGAACACACCTCCTTCTTGTCTTTGGCATCACACTTGATCTGCTCGCGGTTAAAGGCCTTCTTGGCGTTCTTCATCTGCGTCTTAGAGATCACCGCCCAACGCTGAGGAAGAGGAAAAAGGAGAATGAGTAAGGGACTTGTAAATAAAAAAAGAATAACCATAAGAAGTTAGAATTCAAATGTGCACACTGTACTAAAATGTATACCATGTACAGTGGTGTATTAAAACACTGTAGTTGGCAAAACAGTGTAGCAAACAGACTGTTTTTTTTACAATCTCAAACCACACTGTCACATTTCTGGTGTGCGTTGTAAGTATTTTTTCTCTTCAACAAACCTCTCCCTCCTTCTGTGATTCTACGTAGACGGTCGGGAACGGCTCCTTCCCCGCGGACATCAGAGCCTGTGAGGATTTATCAATAAACACGATGAGATCAGATATATCAACCACTAGAGCAAATATCAATTATCTAATATATCAGAATCAGTTTTATTGCCAAGTTGGTTTCACATATAATGAATTTGATTTGGTGTATAATGTTCTAAACATATCAGGGAAAGTAAGTTTTAAAAAAGCAGCAATTATAGAACTTAGAAAATCTTTAACAATAAATGTTTTCAAGAAATACAAATATAAAAAACGAAGTTAGGACAAAAATATGACAAATTACTACGAAAAATAAATTCTGTGCTGTGTATGTGGTGGGCAGAAATGTGCAAAATACACAGTAGAAATTGCTTGGTTTACAGTATTTGGCTACAACTAAGAATACATCTTGTGACATGAAGCATTTCCCTACAATTTTACAATATTATAAAACAATTAAATTATAGAACAGAGGGAGTGTATGATCATTTTACCCCGAGAGGAGTTTTGAATGGTTTCGCCTCCGTGCCGTCCCCATCCTGGTCGCTGCCACATTTGTCCGACACATACAGCTCTCCTGTGAAGCAGAAAGAGATGAATGAATTAAATAATAAAAAAGACCAACTGCTGGGAAGGTTTGCATAAGGAAAGCAAAGAGGGTGCAGATCTCATAACCAGTGGTGTAAAGTAACTAAGTACATTTACTCAAGTACTTTACTTGAGTATTTCAATGTGTTGATACTTTGTACTTCTACTCCACTACAATTCAGAGGTACATCGTGTACTTTTACTCGACTACATGTATTTAATACCTTTAGTTACTTTACAGATCTGGATGAATGATGTGAAATATAATCAAGTGTTAAATCAGACTTTAGTTCCACCTGGAGTAAATTCACAAGCTACCCTGTATCTCATAATTGAACTTAGGTACAGTACTTGAGTAAATGTACTTAGTTACTTTACACCACTCACCTTGTGGTGATATACTTAAATACAAAACTGAAACCATTACTGACGAATAAAATATGATTGAATTAACGTAATATGTAGGAGAACAGGATAATGCTGACTTTCTACATGCCTGTTGACTAAAAGACACAACAAAGGAGGGAAAAGGACCCCAGGTAACGTTGAATGCCTGACGTAGCCTTTAGCTGCCCGGCAAACTGACAGCTGTCAAGGCTAAATATTATCCCAAAGTAGCCTCTGTGTGGCTCAATGTTCACCTGCAAGTTAATATGAAACCCGCACATAAGCTCAATTACTGTGTAGAACTACACCATATACATGTATATTAAAACCAGAGACGTATATATTCAAAAATCAGCGTTAGCTTGAATGCTAACGGCTAGCATCACTGCAACTGATGCAATAATCCAGACACACATGTATTTGGGAGCTAGCTATGTGACTAGCTCTTTTTATTCTTACCCACTGAAACTTGTTCCACACCTTTCGTTATCTCCGTCGCCATGTCTGTCTTAGTCCAACGACAGATAAATAATGTTGTATTAAAGCAATGGAAATGAGAGCACAGAAGCTATTGTGCGTCGGGTCTGCTCCTCTGCTGCTGAAATGCAACTTTACATCAGCACAGCCGCAGCTCGATGCGATCGGCAATCGACTGATCGACCTTCTTCTTCTTCTTCCTTGGTTTCAATGGCGGACTACAAAACCAACGATGAAGAAGCATACTGCCACTTACTGTACTTACTTTGTGACATTATGACTTTAAGACAACTTCTCATAGGACCTATTAGTCAAACATTTATTTAAAAAAACCTTTATGAAAGAGATGGTTACAAAAAGTTTGGGAACCACTGAGATAGACTAAACAGCTGAGGGACACTGAATCACATTTGTTGTCGCTTATGGCTCAGGGTCATCTACACCCCGAGAAGGGTGTCCCACAACAATAACTATCTCTGACTGAGAGTTGCCCGGTCATAAACTGGCAACAACAACAAAATGCTTGGGCAGCCCCTCCTTAAAGGGGACCTATCATGCAAAATGCACTTTGGTACGTCTTTTATACATGAATATGTGTCCCTGGTGTTCCAGGGAACTCACCAAGTGTCAGAAAACACAACCCTCTCTATTTTCCTCCATACCCAAATCTCTAAAAAAGGGGCTGCAACGGATCTGATAAAAACTGATCCAGATTTGAACACTTTCCTGACGTCAGGACAGTGGCGCTACGGCTATTGGGCCAACTCCACCAATCAGGAGGAGACAGCCACGGCCATTGCCGTTCGAAAGCGCTGGAGACGCTGTAGTACATGTGCCAGGCCTGTAGATGGTGCTGTTCTCACAGAATCAGCCCTTACAAAAACAGAGCTAAAAAATGTCAAATTGAGCAAAATGAGGCATGGCTAAAATGCATGATCTGTTTGGTATTTTGAAAAAAAAAAAGTATAAATATGACTTATATAGGTATGGTCCTACACTATATTATTCAAATATAGCATGATAGGTCCACTTCAAGGGAGATAGCGGCTGCTCAAGGTGGGGCATCTGCGTCAGAGGGCGAAAGGTAACATGTATACAGAATTATTCCCTGACAGTATACAAAAGCATAATGCATTTAGGGGCGTTGGAGTTAATCATGTATAATACAGTTTATGAAATAATATGAAGTAGTTTTGTAGTCAGTGAAGTTTTAAGGTAAAAAAAAAAAAGGATGTCATTGTTTAAAAAAGATCCCAAATGTAAATTGATTTACGGTGCCTCCTTCGGGTTTAATGGGGGACCACAAACCAACACTGGAGCAGCACTACTGTGTAACATCATGACTTTAAGACAACTTCTCATATGACTTTTTAAGCAGGAATTATTTTTAAAAACATTGGAGGAAAAGAGGTGGTTCTGGAGGTGATCCTGGTTAAACATTTATTTATTCAATCTATCTAACCATAATCATGACTTCAAGACAACTTTCATATGTGACTTTTTGAGCAGAAATGGAAAAAATACATTGGAGGAAAAGAGGTGGTTCCTGGCACGACATGTATATTTCTATTATTATTATTATTATACAAAAATACAGCGTAAATCAGGGGGTTGGGGCTAATAATCTTAAATACATTTGATAAAATAATAGGAAATGGTTTTTGTTTTAGGGAGCTTGGGAAATGATATTAGTTTTAAAAAATACCCCAAAATATTGATTGATTCAGAAAACGTTTTATTATTGATTTAATGTTTGATTTAAATGTTGTGATACAAAGACGATTTAGGTCTGCATTAGGCACGTGCAGAAGAACAGAAAGAGATGACAATATTACAGCAACAATACAAATGTACCTTTACAGAAGAACTTTACAAATCAAAATAACAAGAAGAGTTTCAATAATCCATATCAATCTATTAGGAAACTGTATTTATTCAGATCAGTTATTTATTACCAAAGATATCCCACACTGCTGATCTTCTATTCACATATCAGGTCTCACACCACCTCTGACAAAAACAGTTATTTACAGACAATAACAAACACTTTCATAATATAATCTTAGTACATGAAGAACAAGAAATATCCCAAATCATATTTTTTCATCATCCCTCACCAAACTATCAGGGTTATTATTTGGTATTTCAGACATTTATTTACTCTTTAAAATATGTGTTCATAATATTTTCAATATTTCCTTTTTTGCAATTGTTTAGTTAGTAATCTAACATTTGACCTTAGAGAATAATAAAATTAATGTAAAATAAAAGAAAGAAGAGGAAAACTCCCTTCTAGTGAGCAGTGATACTCACCATGGCTGCAAAGATAAACAGACTTGACTCTAAATAAAATGTGTCATGTGTGGGTGACCCGAGTCCTTATAGCAGCGACCGGGGTTCTGCTGCACCCTTCTCTCATCTTTCCTGGTGTTTTCCAGTTTTCATCAGAAAAAAAAACCCAAATATATCTGAGAAAATGGAAAGTTGTCGTGTGGTGTTTCCTCGTTCTATGGGTTTGAGGTTTCTGTGTTTAAATCTTTACAGATTTTAACAAAGACTCCATTAACATACAGACCAAACCCAGGACAGAGCGGCTCAGTGAATGTGGTGTGGACTCTGTGGAGGAGAGTCATGGTTTCAGAGACGCTGTAGAAGGACAGAACGCCTGCACTGTGATCCAGGTACACTCCTACTCTGGAGGACTGAGGACCTGAGAGTGATGTTCTGATTTTGTTATGTCTGAATTCATAACCATCACCTAAACACTCCAAAGCCCAAGACTTGCCACTGTTTCCAAATAAACTTTCATCTCCTTTTCTGCTAATACTCTTGTATGCAACTGCTACAAAAACCCTCCCTCCTACCTTCACCTCCCAGTAACAACATCCAGTCAGACTCTCTCTACACAAAATCTGAGCCCAGTCAGTGAAATTGTCTGGGTGACCACACCATTCATTTGTACCAAAGTTGCATTTTGCATGTAGGTCAGAATAAAAATGGATAAGTCTGTACTTTGTGATCTGATCCAGTGTGATATCACACACATTTTTGAGGAATTCAGTCCTGTTCTTGGGCTCAGTCTGTAGAGTCTCTGTTATCGACATCGTGGCCCATTCCTCACTAACAATATCCTGTAGTTTATCTCTGACCTCTGACACAGCTGCAGTCTGGTCCTCAGTGTACTTCAGGGAACGAGCCGTGATGCTGGAGGAGTCTGTAGCTTCACTCAGACCTGATAACCTGCTGTAACTCTGTAGGAACTGGGTGTGGTCCTCTGTGTGTGAAAGTTGTTCCAGCTCGGTGTCCTTCCTGCTGAGCTCAGCGATCTCCTCCTGCAGCTTCTCCTGAAGATTGTTGACGTGAGCCACTTCAGATTCCTGACGAGATCTGATCTGCTGCTTCACATCTGTGAAGATCTTCTCGCTGTCAATCACTGCTTTATCAGCAGAGAGATTGATGGCCTCCACATCCTTCTGAAGCAGCTTCACATCTTTCTCTCTCTTCTGGATTCTCTTCTGGATGTTTTGACGACTCACCCCGAGCTCTTTCTGCTTCTTGCTGATTTCTGCTGCAGCTGAAACTGTGTCGTGGCCTTTATGTTCATCCATGGAGCAGAGAATGCAGATACACTGCTGATCTGTGCGGCAGAAAATCTTCATCACCTCATTGTGACGAGTACAGATGATCTCCTGCATCTTGTTGGAGGGGTCGACCAGCTTGTGTTTTCCAAAGACAGGCAAATCATAGTGAGGCTGGAGGTGCTGCTCACAGTAAGAGACCAGACACTGCAGACAGGACTTCAGAGCTTTCTGTTTTCTCCCAGTGCAGAAATCACATCCCACATCTCCAGGTCCAGCATAGCAGTGATCAGCTTTAGACGCTTTGACGTCTGTCTTCTTATTCTTCACTTCCTCCACTAACTCTGCCAACACGGTGTTTTTCATCAGGACAGGCCTCGGTTCAAAGGTCTGTCTGCATTGAGGACAGCTGTACACATTTTTCTGATTCTCTTCATCCCAGTAGTTTTTAATACAGCTCAAACAGTAGCTGTGTCCACAGGGAATAGTCACCGGACCCTTCAGTAGATCCAGACAGATGGAACAGCAGAGTTTGTCCTGGTTCGGTTGAATTTGTTGCTGCGCCATTCTCCCTCAGAGACACGACACTGAGAGGACTGGCCGCGGTGAAGTTATTTTTAGATTGGATATTCGACAGACATTCGCGGACCAGCCAGCAGCGCCAGTTTCCCCTGCTGTTGGCTTCTTCTTCTTCTTCTTCTTCTTTTTCTTCTTCTTCTTCTTCTTCTTCTTCTCGGTTTTTGGCGGATTACAAACAACTTTAAGGTGCATACCGCCACCTACTGTACATGAGTGTGAATCAACATGTCATTCCATCTCTTAACTCATGGACGTATATATCTATGAGCTTATCAAAAATAAATCAACAAAAAACATAAAATAAATAAACAAAACAAAACAACAATCTATGATCTGTTCTAACCTAATGTTACATTATTTTTCCTACCCCAGTTTCACTCAGGAATGTAAACAGTGCCTTTCTGGTAGCTCTTACTCCTTCTCCTTCTGTTCCCAGAATACCAACCACACTCCATTCCCTCTCTGCCTCTAAAACTTTATCCTTTAGTTTTTCTCTCTCAAGCTAAAATGATAACAACCACCAGGTACACTCTCTAACAGGTCCGTGGTGCAACACACACTATATTCACAGTGAATTATGTCCCGTAATGTTCCACCACACAGCCATGATAAGAGCTGTTTAAATCCTCTAGTTGATAGGAAATGAGGTTCAGTTTCCCTTTATAATCTCCTTTAGTTTATAGGAAACACTGGATCATCCTTTACGAAAGGAAAGGAGATAATGCTCTGCCACAATGCTTGTTCACAGAAACAACCGATAATGAAGGAAAACAAAGATCGGTGCTTTTTATGCAGTTTACAACTTATTCCAGTGTATACAGGGTGTAATATGAACGAAGTGCTGTAAAAGGATCAAATCAAATCACCATTTCAAAGTGTTGACTGAGTTGTGTGGGGTTTATTAAACTTCTTGTGTACATGTTTTAATGTTGATATGCACAGTGATAGATGTGAAGGCCTATCAGTTATGCATTTATTGTATAAAGTTGTATTTATCTGAAATATTTTCATCAAATCATACGAATGGGATTCATTAATATGTGTGCACAGGAGGGTGAGTGCGAACAACCATTACACAATAAATATATATATTTTCTAATGCAGTTGGTGGACACCTGATTAATTAACTAAATGACTGTCTACTTTTATTCATGTGCATTTGTAAACTAAAGTTCTGTAATTGAAGAGGACACATTTTTGATACTGAATATCTTGGTTTCTTCTTCTCAAAGGTCACATTGTTCTGTTGTCTTACACAATACACTTAAGTCAAAAACATATTTTTGATATTTCTATTCTCTCAGATTTATTTGCATTGCATTTGATATTGAGGTAATCCAAAAGTAAAGGAGAGTAATCAGGTTACATTGCTTTTATATTGTGATACTCAGATGAGGTTACTGCTTCCATTCTTATTATAGGTTATGTAATGGTAATGGATTACATTGTTAAAGTAACCCTCCTAACCCTGTTAGTGTGTAACATCATTGTTGTGTTTGTTGGTATATCGATGAACTGACTCCTGTGTCCAGATGATGACATGGCTTTTATTTATTGCTGTTCCAGCATTAACCTTACATCTGTCTACAGCGACACCTTGTGGTGAGAGTGTGCATCTCCCTAATCATCACCATCATGACTTCAAGACAACTTTCAAACATGAATTTTGAAGCAAAAATTATTTAAAAAAACTTTAACAGAAGGTGGTTGCTGGCTCGCCTTTTAAACAAATTGTATTATCATTAATAATATTATTATTATACAAATGTACAACGTAAATTAGGGGGTTGGGGGCCAATAATCTTGAATGTAGTAATATGAAATAATAGGAAGTTTTAAGGTGTTAAAAAATACCCCAAAATATTGATTGATTCAGAAAACGTTTTATTATTGATTACATGTTTGATTTAAATGTTGTGATACAAAGAGGATTTAGGTCTGCATTAGGCACGAGCAGAAGAACAGAAAGAGATGGAAATATTACAGCAACAATACAAATGTACCTTTACAGAAGAACTTTACAAATCAAAATAACAAGAAGAATTTCAATAATCCATATCAATCTATTAGGAAACTGGATTTATTCAGATCAGTTATTTATTACCAAAGATATCCCACACTGCTGATCTTCTATTCACATATCAGGTCTCACACCACCTCTGACAAAAACAGTTATTTACAGACAATAACAAACACTTTCATAATATAATCTTAGTACATGAAGAATAAGAAATATCCCAAATCATATATTTTCATCATCCCTCACCAAACTATCAGGGTTATTATTTGGTATTTCAGACATTTATTTACTCTTTAAAATATGTGTTCATAATATTTTCAATATTTCCTTTTTTGCAATTGTTTGGTTAGTAATCTAACATTTGACCTTAGAGAACAATAAAAGAAATGTAAAATAAAAGAAAGAAGCAGAAAACTCCCTTCTTGTGAGCAGTGATACTCACCATGGCTGAAAAGATAAACACACTTGACTCTAAATAAAATGTGTCATGTGTGGGTGACCAGAGTCCTTATAGCAGCGACCGGGGTTCTGCTGCACCCTTCTCTTCATCTTTTCTGGTGTTTTCCAGTTTTCATCAGACTGAAAAATCTGAGAAAATGGAAAGTTGTCGTATGGTGTTTCCTCATTCTACGGGTTTGCGGTTTCTGTGTTTAAATCTTTACAGATTTCAACAGAGGCTTTATCAGTATGCATACCAAACCCAGGACAGAGCGGCTCAGTGAATGTGGTGTGGACTCTGTGGAGGAGAGTCATGGTTTCAGAGACACTGTAGAAGGACAGAACGCCTGCACTGTGATCCAGGTACACTCCTACTCTGGAGGGCTTAGGACCTGAGAGTGATGTTCTGATTTTGTTATGTCTGAATTCATAATAACCGTCACCTAAACACTCCAAAGCCCAAGACTTGTCACTGTCTCCAAAAAAACTTTCATCTCCTTTTCTGCTAATACTCTTGTATGCAACAGCAACCAAAACACTCACTTTTACCTCCACCTCCCAGTAACAACATCCAGTCAGACTCTCTCTACACAACATCTGAGCCCAGTCAGTGAAACTGTCTGGGTGAGCATACCATTCATCGGTATTCAAGCTGAATCCTGCAATGTAAGACTGAGAGCTGATATGTTTGCTCCTTGTGTTCTGATCCAGTCTGATATCACACGCATATTTGAGGAATTCAGTCCTGTTTTTGCGTTCTGTCTGTGGAGTCTCTGTTAATGACATCGTGGCCCGTTCGTTCCTCACTAACAATATCCTGTAGTTTATCTCTGACCTCTGACACAGCTGCAGTCACGTCCTCAGTGTACTTCAGGGAACGAGCCGTGATGCTGGAGGAGTCTGTAGCTTCACTCAGACCTGATAACCTGCTGTAACTCTGTAGGAACTGGGTGTGGTCCTCTGTGTGTGAAAGTTGTTCCAGCTCAGCGATCTCCTCCTGCAGCTTCTCCTGAAGATTGTTGATCAGCAGAGAGATTGATGGCCTCCACCTCCTTCTGAAGCAGCTTCACATTCACCCAGTAGTTTTTAATACAGCTCAAACAGTAGCTGTGTCGACAGGGAATAGTCACCGGATCCTTCCGACAGATGGAACAGCAGAGTTTTCCCTGGTTCGGTTGAATTAGTTGCTGCGCTATTCTCCCTCTAGAGACACGGAGGGCTGGCCTTGTTTGAGAGCAGGAAGAAGAAGGAGGGTTAATGTTTGACTCGCTCCAGGAAGAGGCGGGATTTCAAGGTGTGTTCAGGCTCTGTTTCTACATGCAGTTAATAATGTGAAACAAACAAGGTCGTGTTGTCAGCCCAGTCAGAAATGTAGTTGTCAGTCTGTTGTGAAGGAGACAGTGTTTATGTTCTTCATAATGACAATCCAAACACATCTGTTCCACTCACTCCTTTACTATCAACTGTGAACAATCTAGAAAATATACTGCCTGTGCTGTTAGTTTGAAATGTTTATAATCCTCCAGGAACAATTATTCTTAAGTGTGTTAATCAGCAATTCTAACCCAATACGCCATTTGTCAAATTCAGCAAATATCTTCTCATGACCCACCTTTTCTTCTGTATTTTCAGACTAAGTACCTAAGTGGCAGCCATGATAAGAGCCGTTTAAATCCTCTAGTTGATAGGAAATGATGTTCAGTTTCCCTTTATAATCTCCTTTAGTTTATAGGAAACACCGGATCATCCTTTACGAAAGGAAAGGAGATAATGATGTGCCACAATGCTTGTTCACAGAAACAACCGATAATGACGGACAAACAAAGATCACATGGTGTTTTTTATGCAGTTTACAACTTATGCCGGTGTATACAGGGTGTAATATGAACGAAGTGCTGTAAAAGGATCAAATCAAATCACCATTTCAAAGTGTTAACTGAGTTGTTTGGGGTTTGTACATGTTTTAATGTTGATATGCACAGTGATAGATGTGAAGGCCTATCAGTTATGCATTTATTGTATAAAGTTGTATTTATCCGAAATATTTTCATCAAATCATACTAATGGGATTCATTCATACGTGTGGACAGGAGGGTGAGTGCGGACAACCATTACACATTAAATATATATATATATATTTTCTAATGCAGTTGGTGGACACCTGATTAATTAACTAAATGACTGTTTACTTTTATTCATGTGCATTTGTAAACTAAAGTTCTGTAATTGAAGAGGACACATTTTTGATACGGAATATCTTGGTTTCTTCTTCTCAAAGGTCACATTGTTCTGTTGTCTTACACAATACACTTAAGTCAAAAACATATTTTTGATATTTCTATTCTCTCAGATTTATTTGCATTGCATTTGATATTGTGGTAATCCAAAAGTAACGGAGAGTAATCAGGTTACAGTACATTAATTCTATATTGAGATACTCAGATGAGGTTACTGATTCCATTCTTATTATAGGTTATGTAATGGTAATGGATTACATTGTTAAAGTAACCCTCCCAACCCTGTTAGTGTGTAACATCATTGTTGTGTTTGTTGGTATATCGATGAACTGACTCCTGTGTCCTGAGGCCTGTACTACGAAGCTGGATTTTCGCTTAGCCGGCTAAATTGAGGGAAATCTCGGGCTTTCCGGTCCTACGACGCTGGTTCTCTTTTTAGCAGGCTAGATTTCCATGGTAACGTATGCTGAGCGGCAAACCTGCTCCGGAGCAGGTTAGGTGGCAGGCTAAGAGATCAACTCAGTGAAAGCACTGCCTGCTGACCAATCAGAGCTCCGTGTGTGCGGAGTTTAAAGCGATCAAGTCATATTACAGGATAGAGGAAATACAGAAAAACTGCCGTTGCAGGAAAGACAGCCGGCAAAAATCAACTGACTGTGTGAACGTGAAAATTAATAGAATATCCCCTCCCATCTTCAGAGCAATCTGACTATTATAATATTAGCTTTAAGAAAGCTTACTTAAATATCTGCCACGACATAAGTAACCGGATCAGAGTAACATTAAGTACAGTCCGCGGCACTGTGAGTGCAGACGTCGATGTGTGCCATTATCATTCATATCATATCACATCATAATGTATCATATATTTCCTTATTTGAGTCAGCTTCTTGAGCCGTATCTGGCCGTGCAACACTCAGTGTCACATACTGTATGCAGAAGTATTATTTTAAGCAACACATTAAGTTGACGAAACACTCGAGTCAAATGTAATTAAAGTCAGATCCACTCGTGTCTTGGACGGGGCAGTGATTTCATAAACCTGTTAATGTACGCATTCAAACACTTTTTCTTTTACCAGCTGTATTCACCTTGCAGGTGCAGCTATGTGGCTTTTATCCTGGGTAAAGTGTTTAAGTCATGGATGTTTAAAGTTTAACTTCCTCATATTTGACTAATATTAAAGTTCACTTTTCATTCAGGAAGTATGACGCTGCGCTGTCAGTACGCTTCTCCGTGTTTGAGATTGGTCGAATGCTCCAAATACCACCCCTTTCATGTGAACGCGCACCTAACTAGATAGGACACGGCTGGCTTGAGCGATCCACTTGATAACCGGCGTCGTAGTACAGTTTAGCGCCAGCGCGTATGTTTTGGCTTAGGCCAACCGGCTAACTCCAACATATCCAGGTTAAGTTGAACCAGCTTCGTAGTACAGGCCTCAGATGATGACATGGCTTTTATTTGTTGCTGTTCCAGCGTTAACCTTACATCTGTCTACAGCGACACCTTGTGGTGAGAGTGTGCATCTCTCTAATCATCACCATCATGACTTCAAGACAACTTTCAAACATGAATTTTGAAGCAAAAATAATTTTAAAAAACTTTAACAGAAGGTGATTGCTGGCTCGCCTTTAAAAAAAAATTGTATTATCACTAATAATATTATTATTATACAAGTGTACAACGTAAATTAGGGGGTTGGGGGCCAATAATCTTGAATGTAGTAATAGGAAATAATATGAAGTTTTAAGGTGTTTGAGAAATGAATGATATCAGTGTTAAAAAATACCCCAAAATATTGATTGATTCAGAAAACGTTTTATTATTGATTTCATGTTTGATTTAAATGTTGTGATACAAAGAGGATTTAGGTCTGCATTAGGCACGAGCAGAAGAACAGAAAGAGATGGAAATATTACAGCAACAAAAATGTACATTCAACAGAAGGACTTTACAAATCAAAATAACATGTTACAGTTTCAATAATCCATATCAATCTATTAGGAAACTGGATTTATTCAGATCAGTTATTTATTACCAAAGAAATCCCACACTGCTGATCTTCTATTCACATATCAGCTCTCACACCACCTCTGACAAAAACAGTAATTTACAGACAATAACAAACACTTTCATAATATAATCTTAGTACATGAAGAACAAGAAATATCCCAAGTCATATTTTTTCATCACCCCTCACCAAACTATCAGGGTTATTTTTTGGTATTTCAGACATTTATTTACTCTTTAAAATATGTGTTCATAATATTTTCAATATTTCCATTTTTGCAATTGTTTGGTTAGTAATCTAACATTTGACCTTAGAGAACAATAAAATAAATGTAAAATAAAAGAAAGAAGAGGAAAACTCCCTTCTTGTGAGCAGTGATACTCACCATGGCTGCAAAGATAAACACACTTGACTCTAAATAAAAGTTGTAATGTGTGGGTGACCCGAGTCCTTATAGCAGCGACCGGGGTTCTGCTGCACCCTTCTCTCATCTTTCCTGGTGTTTTCCAGCTTTCATCAGAAAAAAAACCCCAAATATATCTGAGAAAATGGAAAGTTGTCGTGTGGTGTTTCCTCGTTCTATGGGTTTGAGGTTTCTGTGTTTCAATCTTTACAGATTGAAACACAGGCTCCACTACCATACAGGCCAAACCCAGGAAAGAGAGGCTCAGTGAATGTGGTGTGGACTCTGTGGAGGAGAGTCATGGTTTCAGAGACGCTGTAGAAGGAAAGAACGCCTGCACTGTGATCCAGGTACACTCCTACTCTGGAGGACCGACGACCTGAGATTGATGTTCTGATTTTGTTATGTCTGAATTCATAACCGTCATATAAACACTCCAAAGCCCAAGACTTGCCATTGTTTCCAAATGCACTTTCAACTCCTGTTCTGCTAATACTCTTGTATGCAACTGCAACAAAAACATTATTTTTTACCTTTACCTCCCAGTAACAACATCCAGTCAGACTCTTTCTACACCAAATCTGATTCCAGTCAGTGAAACTGTCTGGGTGAGCACACCAGTCAGATTTATTAAAGCTGAATGTTGCCCCTCGGCCAGAATTAAACCTGATATGTTGGCTCCTTGTGTTCCGATCCAGTCTGATATCACACACATTTTTGAGGAATTCAGTCCTGTTCTTGGGCTCAGTCTGTGGAGTCTCTGTTATCAACATCGTGGCCCATTCCTCACTAACAATATCCTGTAGTTTATCTCTGACCTCTGACACAGCTGCAGTCTGGTCCTCAGTGTACTTCAGGGAACAAGCCGTGATGCTGGAGGAGTCTGTAGCTTCACTCAGACCTGATAACCTGCTGTAACTCTGCAGGAACTGGGTGTGGTCCTCTGTGTGTGAAAGTTGTTCCAGCTCGGTGTCCTTCCTGCTGAGCTCAGCGATCTCCTCCTGCAGCTTCTCCTGAAGATTGTTGACGTGAGCCACTTCAGATTCCTGACGAGATCTGATCTGCTGCTTCACATCTGTGAAGATCTTCTCGCTGTCAATCACTGCTTTATCAGCAGAGAGATTGATGGCCTCCACATCCTTCTGAAGCAGCTTCACATCTTTCTCTCTCTTCTGGATTCTCTGCTGGATGTTTTGACGACTCACCCCGAGCTCTTTCTGCTTCTCACTCATTTCTGCTGCAGCTGAAACTGTGTCGTGGCCTTTATGTTCATCCATGGAGCAGAGAATGCAGATACACTGCTGATCTGTGCGGCAGAAAATCTTCATCACCTCACTGTGACGAGTACAGATGATCTCCTGCATCTTGTTGGAGGGGTCGACCAGCTTGTGTTTTCCAAAGGCAGGGGATTCATAGTGAGGCTGGAGGTGCTGCTCACAGTAAGAGACCAGACACTGCAGACAGGACTTCAGAGCTTTCTGTTTTCTCCCAGTGCAGAAATCACATCCCACATCTCCAGGTCCAGCATAGCAGTGATCAGCTGGAGACGCTTTGACGTCTGTCTTCTTATTCTTCACTTCCTCCACTAACTCTGCCAACACGGTGCTTTTCATCAGGACAGGCCTCGGTTCAAAGGTCTGTCTGCACTGAGGACAGCTGTACACATTTTTCTGATTCTCTTCATCCCAGTAGTTTTTAATACAGCTCAAACAGTAGCTGTGTCCACAGGGAATAGTCACCGGACCCTTCAGTAGATCCAGACAGATGGAACAGCAGAGTTTGTCCTTGTCCCGCTGACTTCCTTGCTGCGCCATTCTCCTTCAGAGACACGTTGTGAGAGCAGGAAGAAGAAGGAGGGGCTGTTAATGTTTGACTCGCTCCAGGAAGAGGCGGGATTTCAAGGTGTGTTCAGGCTCTGTTTCTAAATGCAGTTAATAACAAGCAAGGTCGTGTTGTCAGCCCAGTCAGAAATGTAGTTTTCAGTCTGTTGTGAAGGAGACAGTGTTTATGTTTTTCATAATGACAATCCAAACACATCTGTTCCACTCACTCCTTTTCTATCAACTGTGAACAATGTAGAAAATATACTGCCTGTGCTGTTAGTTTGAAATGTTTATAATCCTCCAGGAACAATTACTCTTAAGTGTGTTACTCAGCAATTCTAACCCAATACGCCGTTTGTCAAATTCAGCAAATATCTTCTCATGGCCCACCTTTTCTTCTGTATTTTCAGACTAAGTACCTACAGTAAGTGGCAGCCATGATAAGAGCCGTTTAAATCCTCTAGTTGATAGGAAATGAGGTTCAGTTTCCCTTTATAATCTCCTTTAGTTTATAGGAAACACTGGATCATCCTTTACGAAAGGAAAGGAGATAATGCTGTGCCACAATGCTTGTTCACAGAAACAACCGATCATGACGGACAAACAAAGATCACATGGTGTTTTTTATGCAGTTTACAACTTATTCCGGTGTATCCAGGGTGTAATATGAAGTGCTGTAAAAAGATCAAATCAAATCACCATTTCAAAGTGTTAACTGAGTTGTGTGGGGTTTGTACATGTTTTAATGTTGATATGCACAGTGATAGATGTGAAGGCCTATCAGTTATGCATTTATTGTATAAAGTTGTATTTATCCGAAATATTTTCATCAAATCATACTAATGGGATTCATTAATACGTGTGGACAGGAGGGTGAGTGCGAACAACCATTACACATTAAATATATATATTTTCTAATGCAGTTGGTGGACACCTGATTAATTAACTAAATGACTGTTTACTTTTATTCATGTGCATTTGTAAACTAAAGTTCTGTAATTGAAGAGGACACATTTTTGATACTGAATATCTTGGTTTCTTCTTCTCAAACGTCACATTGTTCTGTTGTCTTACACAATACACTTAAGTCAAAAACATATTTTTGATATCTCTATTCTCTCAGATTTATTTGCATTGCATTTGATATTGAGGTAATCCAAAAGTAAAGGAGAGTAATCAGGTTACATTGCTTTTATATTGTGACACTCAGATTAGATTACTGCTTCCATTCTTATTATAGGTTATGTAATGGTAATGGATTACATTGTTAAAGTAACCCTCCCAACCCTGTTGTAACATCATTGTTGTGTTTGTTGGTATATCGATGAACTGACTCCTGTGTCCAGATGATGACATGGCTTTTATTTGTTGCTGTTCCAGCGTTAACCTTACATCTGTCTACAGCGACACCTTGTGGTGAGAGTGTGCATCTCCCTAATCATCACCATCATGACTTCAAGACAACTTTCAAACATGAATTTTGAAGCAAAAATTATTTAAAAAAACTTTAACAGAAGGTGGTTGCTGGCTCGCCTTTTAAACAAATTGTATTATCACTAATAATATTATTATTATACAAATGTACAACGTAAATTAGGGGGTTGGGGGCCAATAATCTTGAATGTAGTAATATGAAATAATAGGAAGTTTTAAGGTGTTTGAGAAATGAATGATATCAGTGTTAAAAAATACCCCAAAATATTGATTGATTCAGAAAACGTTTTATTATTGATTTCATGTTTGATTTAAATGTTGTGATACAAAGAGGATTTAGGTCTGTATTAGGCACGAGCAGAAGAACAGAAAGAGATGGAAATATTACAGCAACAATACAAATGTACCTTTACAGAAGAACTTTACAAATCAAAATAACAAGAAGAATTTCAATAATCCATATCAATCTATTAGGAAACTGGATTTATTCAGATCAGTTATTTATTACCAAAGATATCCCACACTGCTGATCTTCTATTCACATATCAGGTCTCACACCACCTCTGACAAAAACAGTTATTTACAGACAATAACAAACACTTTCATAATATAATCTTAGTACATGAAGAATAAGAAATATCCCAAGTCATATGTTTTCATCATCCCTCACCAAACTATCAGGGTTATTATTTGGTATTTCAGACATTTATTTACTCTTTAAAATATGTGTTCATAATATTTTCAATATTTCCTTTTTTGCAATTGTTTGGTTAGTAATCTAACATTTGACCTTAGAGAACAATAAAATAAATGTAAAATAAAAGAAAGAAGCAGAAAACTCCCTTCTTGTGAGCAGTGATACTCACCATGGCTGAAAAGATAAACACACTTAACTCTAAATAAAATGTGTCATGTGTGGGTGACCCGAGTCCTTATAGCAGCGACCGGGGTTCTGCTGCACCCTTCTCTTCATCTTTCCTGGTGTTTTCCAGCTTTCATCAGAAAAAAAAACCCAAATATATCTGAGAAAATGGAAAGTTGTCGTGTGGTGTTTCCTCATTCTACGGGTTTGAGATTTCTGTGTTTAAATCTTTACAGATTTTAACAAAGACTTCATTAACATACAGACCAAACCCAGGAAAGAGAGGCTCAGTGAATGTGGTGTGGACTCTGTGGAGGAGAGTCATGGTTTCAGAGACGCTGTAGAAGGACAGAACGCCTGCACTGTGATCCAGGTACACTCCTACTCTGGAGGACTGAGGACCTGAGATTGATGTTCTGATTTTGTTATGTCTGAATTCATAACCGTCATCTAAACACTCCAAAGCCCAAGACTTGCCATTGTTTCCAAATAAACTTTCATCTCCATTTCTGCTAATACTCTTGTATGCAACTGCTACAAAAACCCTCCCTCCTACCTCCACCTCCCAGTAACAACATCCAGTCAGACTCTCTCTACACAAAACCTGAGCCCAGTCAGTGAATCTGTCTGGGTGACCACACCATTCATTTTGACCCAAGCTTCGCGTCGGGCCGAACCACGCCCCTTAGCTGTGATATAATGAGCATATACCACGGCCTGTCGTGAGCTATTGCTTAATTATATCATTGCTTATATTCGTGGTTATCAGACACTTAAACAACAGAGAAGGTTTTAAAAAATAGGACTATAAATGACATATTATCCTGTCATTGTCTGTTCTGTAGGAAGGAGGAACATAACAGAGTGGACTCAAAAACGGAAGTTTGTTCCAATACGAAGATTGTGACAGATCTGAAAAGTGTCCTTAAAACGAGCCTCCACGCAATTGTATGCACATTATTTATTCAGCCGTTTGCTGTTTAATCTGATGGGAAATATATCATTAAAAAGAGAGAAAGTAAATAGTATCTTTCGTTTTTCCGCTTAGAAAACGAGGCGAACGCTCAATACAGGCGATGATGTCACTTTGCTCGTCCCCGCGAACAGGGCTTCAGGGCTGGCCTTGTTTGAGAGCAGGAAGGAGAAGGAGGGGCTGTTAATGGTTGCGTTCGAATACTCCAAAAAAAACAGCTCCTAAATTCTAACCCTATCGTCTATTCCTTGACCTCGGAGTGAAACGTCATGGGGTTAAGGGATAGTGGATAGGAGAATTCAAAAGGATTTAGGAGAAGAGACTGCGGTACTTTAGAGAATCCGACTGCACTTTCACTATCCGACGTGTTTATGATGCGCCAGCAGAGGTCATAAATGTGCGCCTGCTGCTGTGGGGAAACTATGGAAACTACAGTTTTCTATACAGCGGACTACAACATGGATGTTTAATAAGAACGAGGGACTACTGTAAACTCATCTAGAGACTCTGCACCGTGCTCTGATGCTGTTGTTGTATGCTTTATGAACGGGGACAACAGAGAAACATATTCTTCATGACCAAAGTTGGAATTGAAATAAAAAAGGAAAGTGAAACTTATGCTCGTCACCCTCTCCCTCCGGTCCACATTAATACAAATGATCCCAATACGTATGATTGTATGAAAAGATCTTAAAATCAATACAAATGTATTTATTATAACCGTTAGTCCTTAACATCTATCACTGTGTAGATCACCATTCAAACATCTTTTAAAAGTTGAACAAACCCCACACAGCTCAGTAAAGACTGAAATGTTGACTTTATTTGATCATTTCAGTAAAAACTAATGTTCATATTTCTCTTTTTGATTATAATACTGATGAACGTTCAAAACAAAGCACTTTGGCAACTTACCACATACGTTTTAAAATGCTTAATAAGCACCGTAACTTTCATGATATCATTTCTCGTTCATAATCGGTTGTTTCCGTGGACGGCCGACTGTTGTGTGACGGCAAATGCCGCGGCTGCAAGGCATTGTGGGGCAGCATTTTCTCCTCTCCTTTCGGTTAGGGAGGTCCAGTGGTTCCTAAGCTAAAGGAGGTTATAAAGGAAGTTTGAAACCTCTTTTCCTTTTAATTTAGAGAATTCGAACGGCACTTATCATGGCTGCCACTGAGGGACTTCCGGGTCATTTCACTCCGTTAGGAAGGTTCCTAAGCTAAATGGACTATTCGAATAGAGTGGCGAAGTCACGCCCACTTACTTCCGGGTAATGGGACCTTATTTCGGAAAAATTATGCATTGAAGTCAATGGGGAGAGAAAACTTATCTTTCGATCCCGTTTGAATTGTGCCATGAATTACACATATGATGTTTGTCAATCTTAAAAAATAATTTCCATGTCAAAAAAGTCACAGTTTGTCGTAAAACTGTTGAAATATAAGACTATGAAAAATACGTAACTAGAAAGACTACAAATCCCAGAGTCGCGTAAGTGATGTCACAATTGTTTTGATCAGCGCCATATAGATATAATCTATCTATATGGCGCTGGCTAAGATAAGATAACTTTAACAAGATGCCTGTGTGCTTAGTACCAGGTTGTTATTATACCAGCAATGGGTCTTGCTCGTTCTTTTGCTTCCCGTCTGATGAAAGGACCAGGAGTGGCTTGATCAAGTTAGCTACCTAGCTAGTAGCTAGCACGTTAGTTAGCATTACAGCCTTGTCATTTTTATTAGCCTTAACATGAAGTAAC